AAGGACTATAGTCTTCAGTATGGATTGAAGCTCAACATCAAGAAGACTAAAAGATTCTCACTACTGAGCCAATTTGCAGAACCATAATAGATGGGGAAGAGATGGAGGTTGTTAGCAATTGCAGCTTTCTCAAATCCACAATCAACACTCTTAACACCAACAGTCAGGAAATCAAAAGACGAATTGCATTGGGAAAATCTGCTGTCATGAATCTCTCCAGAGTGCTGAAGAGCAACGATGTCAATCTAGATACAAAGGTGTATCTAATCCAGGCCGTGGTTTTCTCAATTGCTTGTTATGCTTCAGAGAGTTGGACAATGACTAAGGATGACAGAAGAAAAAAGGATGCCTTTGAGTTGTGGTGCTGGAGAAAAGTCGTGAACATACCATGGACTGCCAAAAAAAAAAGAAATCTGTCTGTCTCGAAGAGGGTGAAACCAAGTCTCTCCTTGGAGACCAGGATTTTGAAGCTCTGCCTCATTTACTTTGGTCATGTGGCCAGGAGAGATTGGTCCTTGGAGAAGGACATCATGCTTGGAAGGGTGGACAGACAGTGTAGGAGAAGAAGACCCTGGAGGAGATAGATTGATACAGTAACTGGGGAAATGGGGGTTGACGTGTTGGAGTTAGAGTGGCTTAGGACAGGGAAAGGTTCAGAGCTGCTGTACATCACAGGTGACTCAGTGGCATGTAACAACAGTAACATACTATCACAGGTTTGGAAGCAGGAGTGGCATCTATTCTTAAATAACATGCTTATAATGATGGTTGAAGAGGGGCTCCAGGCCTTTTCTTCATGGGGTCGCTGTGAGTCATGCTCATCTCGAAGGCATTCAACAACAACGTATCTGCTAGAATGCCTTTTGTCCATTCCCAAGAAAGGTGATACAATAGACTGTGCAAGTGATTGGACAATATTATTAATATCACAAGCTATCAAAATATTGCTGAAGATCATCACAAAACAGCTACAACAGGACATTGACGGAGAACTGCCAGAAGTTCAGGCTGGGCTTAGAAGAGGTTAGGGCACCAAGGTTATCATTTCTGCTGTCAAATGGATCCTGGCTGAAAGCAGAGAATACCAGAAGAATGTCTATTTGTGTTTATTGAGTATGCAAAAACATTTTATTGCGTGGATTGTAACAAATTAATGGTTAACATCGAGAAGAATGGGAATCCCAGAACACTTAAATGTGCTCATGAAAAAAATCTCTACCTAGATCAAGGAGCTGTTGTCTGAATGGAGTCGGAATATTGCATGGTTTGAATCGGGAAGAATATGCTTCAGGGTTCTATCCTTTCTCCAAATCTATTCAATCTGTATTCTGGGAAAATAATTTGTGAAGCTGGATTCAGTGAAGAGGTTTGTAGCATCAGGACTGGAGGAAGACTCATCAACAACCTGCGTTATCCAGATGACATAACCTTGCTTGCTGAAAATGAGGAGAGGAAACATTTGCAGCAGAAGCTCAAGGAATCCAGTCTTCACTATGGATTGAATCTCAACACCAAGGAAATAATGTGGCTCACCACAAGAGTAACAGTCAACATTATGATAGATGGAGAAAAGACTGGAAGCTGTCAATGATTTCGTCTTGCTCAGATCAACAATTAACACCCTTGGTAGCAGCAGTCAAGAAATCAGGACATGGATTGCACTGAGCAAGTCTGCTGTCAGGAACTTCTCCAAAACACTGGAAAGCAATGATGCCAGTTTGAAGACTAAGGCATGCCTAAGTCAGCCAGGGTCTTCTTCATCACCAGCTGTGCCTCAGAGAGCTGATGATGAATAAAGGTGACAGAGAATTGAGGCCTTTGAGTTGTGTGTCGGAGAAGAGCTCTGACTATCCCATGGACTGTCAACAGAACAAACAGGCATTGTTTGTGACTCAGTGTATATGTGTGAGATCAAGTGTTGGGAGTGTTTTCTGTAATAATTATTGCCAGCTAGCTCCAGTATTTCTGTTATGCATATGCTTTCAGGAGTAGCTTCCCATTTCGTCCTTTTCCAGTGTTTGATTACTCCAGGCTTAAGAAATAGGTATATTTTATATGGAGCTCTGCTGATAGAGTGATAGAAGATTGCCAGCCAAACGGAAGTGAGTTGAATCCATCAGGTGATCTGTCAGGACAAGCTCTTCAAAGACACAACTGCAACATGCTTTCCTCCCATTGCTCTCAAGATGGACCAGCGCAGAGCTGAGCCTGGAACACTGGGAAGAGATGGCCCATCTGTCTTCCGAGAGGTCTCAGGGGGATTTGAACCAGCTGTTTTTAGGTTAGCAGTACAACTCTATACTAACTGCACCACGAGAGCACCATATGTGTGTGCATGCGTGTGTGTATGCATAGGATTCAATCAGATTGATTTGATTGATCTGACGAAAGAGAATTTGAGTGAAATCTGATTTCATTTTACTTGAAAACACAATCAACAGCCATGGTAGCAGGAGTCAAGAAGTCAAATGACATGTTGCACTGGGCCTATCAAGGACCTTTTTAAAATGCTAAAGAGAAAGGATGCCAGTTTAAAGACTAAGGTGTATTTGATCCAAGCCATAGTATTTTCAGTTGCTTATATTCATATGCGAGTTAGACAATACCTAAAACAGACCAAGGAAGAATTAATATGTACTTTTGGCAAAGAGTATTGTGTGTGTGCTGTCAGGAAGGGCCAGTCCTTGGATAAAGACATCATGCTAAGAAACATGGAGGGTCATGGACTAGAGGAAGACTCTCTAGAAGGTGGACGCTGTGGCTCGAGAATGGCCAGTGCCGGTTAGGACAAGGCCTGGATCTGCTCTTCATCGAGTTGCTGTGAGTCATGGTTGACTGGAGGGCACCTACAGCAACATCTGATTGAATAAGACGCTGTTTTCAAACAGAGTCTTCCTTCAAGGCAAACTGTAAAAATGAAGACATTCCTTGCAAAGGTGTTTGTTTGGGTTTTATGATGAGCTGACGACTAAATTGCTTGTTCAGTATGAGTTGTGTGATGTTGTTCCCAATTAGATTAAATATTAAGACTCCAATTTGCCAACTGCTAACAAAATTGCTGAATATTGCACACAGTTTGGGGAATTGCTTTTAATTAACAAATGGAAGGGAAATAGAAAATAAAAGTGTCAGAGCTAGAAATGTCTTAATGGATGGATTCAGCGTTTTCAGATGCAAAGTGTTAAGTATTCCCTGCCCCGGAATGATACATTGCACCTTAATTAGAGACGCTGCTGTGTGTGAAGTCATTGTTAACAGATCTAGTTGTAAAGTGGGTTGTCCATGTCTCATGTGCGCTAAGACCACAGTGAAAAGGAACAGATGGAGGGGTGACTTTCGGGAAAGGTGTGACTTTGGAAGGTGAAAAATCTCTCAATGTTTGTCTCCCCAGTTGAGAGACAGAGGCAGAATTTGAGCGATGCTAGTAGACTTTTCAGAAATGAGTTCTGCTAATAGAAAAAGAGATCCTTTTTTTCTGTTTTGTTTTGTTCATAGTTATCTCTAGCTGTACATCCCTCCCCCCAAGATTTCTTTTTGAATTATGACTTCTTATCTGTTAGAAAGCTGAACAATGACAGAGCTGTGAGTCTGTGCATATAACTACAGGGCTGCGAGTCTGTGCATGTAACTACAGGGCTCTGAGTTTATGCATATAACTAACTACAGGGCTGTGATTCTGTGCATATAACTACAGGGCTGTGAGTCTGTGCCATTTATTTTCTGAACCTTCAAGTGCACCGTGGCCAGAGCTGTCCTCATTACTCAGTTCCCAGGATGCTGTGTGTCACCTGATCTCTTCTGAACGTGCCCCGCACACACATGCTGTTGTTTCCACTGTTACTGGTGGTGTTTCTATCACCACTGATTTTATTTATTTCTGTTCTTGTAACTACAATATTGTGACAGATTTGTGGACCATACCAGTGTTGTTTTTTGAGAATAAAGTCATAAAGAAAAACTTACTGATCAATTACGAATGATGTAACTAATAATGTTATAATTTAATGTACAAGGATTTCACAAAACAGTTTGTTCTTAGTGGTCGTTTAATCTAAGAAATTGTACATTGAAACAATTACTAATTATATCACATACTTTTCTATGATCAGCATTGATAATAAACATTAGTAGGGATTCTGTATTCCTTGGAGGCCCACGGGATGTGGTGGCGCCGTTAGTTATTGCACGGGGGATTAGAGACACCAACTCTAGCAACATTGCTGTATTTTTCTGTGATTAAAGTTAATAACAAATGTTACTACGGGTTCTGTGTGGCCTGGTATGGGAGGAGGCCCATCATGGGCTGGTATTAACTCAGGAGTGACAGCATTGGGTGACACCAATCCTAGTGATGTCACCTCAGCCCCCTGAGATCTGGCTGCCCCTCTGACCCAGCTCAGCACTCATTGACAGTCTCGGGGAGCAGAGTCCTCCAGTCTTTCTGACCCTCCACTTTACCAGCCATGACGTCTTTCTTCTGGGACTGGTCCTTCCTGAAAACATGTCCTAAATGTGTGAGGCAAAGTCTCACCGTCCTTGCTTCTAAGGAGCCCTCAGGGTGTCCTCGATTCAAGGCGGACTTGGTCATCCTTCTTCCAGTCCTCAGCACTCTCCTCTGTCGACTCTGTACTGTAGAGATTACACCCAGGGAGACCCTGAGGGCGGGTCTACTCTATCCTGCAGAAGAACAGGGTTGGTAAGTGAGGGGCACTCCGTCCTCGGAGGCCCCGTCACCATCATACCTCTCCTCATCCTCATCACCCGCTTTCTCATCGTTGTCAGTGTCTGTAGACTGTGACTTTGTACCCAGCAGGCAAAGGTGGTGGGGGGTTGTTTTCCCTATGCAGAGGGATGCAGAAAACTTCCCATGGAAACGCCTCTCGCGTCCTTGGGTTTCCAAGGAGCAGGCCTCAGAGTGTTCTGCGGTTGGTGGTGGTGGTGGAAGGAGGGGCCCGGACCACGCCTTCAGGTGTGTGTGTGTGTGTATGTCCTGCCCACAGGGGAGCTTCTATGTGCCCTCGGAGAACTGCATGCAGCACGCCTACAAGTGGCACCGGGACCTCTGTCACCTGCTGCTTCACGCCTTCCGAGGTCTCCGTGTCTACTTCCTGCTCATCATGAAGGACATCCCGGAGCTGCCACGCACGGAGCTGGGTAAGGACGGGGGGGGGGGGGGAGGCCCGTCCCCATAGCCCACCCTGCACTTTGTGACTCAAAGTAAAAAATAAAGCCACCACCTCACCAACAAACCTGCTCTGACTCCCAGCAGCCTCGAGTGCTGAGTTGGGCGATCTGTAGAGTTTCCAAGGCTGGAGACAAACTTCCCCATCCTTCTGTAGAGAAACTGGAGGGTTTGACCCATGACCTCTAGGCCAACAGTGTTTAACCTCCACAGACACTTCTCTAAATGTCCCAGTTACAGACACGGGTCCAGGAAGGCTTTACATCCTCTCCAGCTTTCCAACAAGCAAGGCTGTCTTCATGAGCGTGGAGGGAGGAAAGGCATGAGGGGCACAGAGGGAAGCGTGCAGTTAGATGATCCATAAACCGACAGAAGCAAAACAAGGACAGGACACCTGCCAGTACCTCACCCACCCCTGGTCCGCTCACTGAGGATTACCCGACACCCACTAAGACGGGACACCTGCCAGTACCTCACCCACCCCTGGTCCGCTCACTGAGGATTATCCCACACCCACTAGGCCTGGTGCTGACGACGCACGTTATCTTGTTTTCTAGGCCATGATATATACGCCTGCAGGTGACAAGTCATAAACCAAGACACTACTCTTGTGATTTGGTACCAGAGGCTGGACGCTTCCAGATCCGAGTTACGGGAGCAGAGGGGCTGCTCCAAGCCTGCTCTCCTCCCTTGAACTTGGTCTTTGAGATGAGCGCCTGAAGCCATGGCAACGTGCCGGAGTAGTTTAGAGTCTCTTCTTGTTTGGGCCTCTGTGTTGAGGTTCCAACTTACAAAACTATGAAACAATTTTAAGATCAGAGAAAACACACCCACTTACACACAACCATGTATCTCCTGATTTTAGCAGGGTGGTGGCTGCATGGCGGCTGGGCTCCTTTCTGACTGAGGGCTTGGAAACATCAGCCACTCTGGGAGAAAGACGCTCCCGTTTGCTCCCGTGTGTGAAGTGACGATCTCAGGAATCTTGGGGCAGTGTTCCTCTATCCCCTCAGGTCCCTATCAGTCATAAAGGATTTGGAGCAAGTGGGTTTAATGGTAATAAATCCTCTTATGTGTCCACTGTTCTGGGCTTTCTGGAGATAGCTTCCTGCACTTGACTTGTCCAGAGTGGGCACACGGAGATCCTGGTCTCCATCTCTTCCTTGACGGGAGGAAACCGAAGCTCAGAGAGGTGGGGTCACACCGCAGTCGGAGGCAGAACCGTGACAGACATGCAGAGGCCCTGATTCCAGGGCAGGTCCTCCAGGCTACATCACACTCAGTGACCACAGGCGTCCTGTTCCTGTTCACCTTGCACTTGTGATGAGGCCCCTCATCAAAATCCATGCTGCAGCCCTGTGTAATGTCTGCCCCACTGCACATAAAACTAGGGAGAAGTCCACGGCATTGAATCGATGTGGTCTCCTAGCAACCTTCCAAAAGGTTTCTGAGTCTGGAAATCTTTGTGGGAGGAAATGACCCAACTTCCTTCATCAGAGCAGCTGGTGGGAGGGAACTGTGCCACCAGGGTGCCTTGAACAGAGTAGAGAGCTCAGATACACACACCCCTGCAGATGAGAAATCATAAAGCTTAGTGTCTAATGTTATTAGGAGCCCATGAGTCAGAATCAATCCATAGCTGACTCCCCAGGGTTTTCATCGCCCAGGAAGAGACTGCCCGTCTTTCTCTTGTGGAGCACTTACTGGATTTGAACCATGTGGCTTTGGGTTGACAGCACAGCTCATTGCCATGGGGCCACTTGAGCTCCTAAGTGTTGGATCCTGCTAATTAGCTCTACAATGTGGGGCCACAGCTGGGGGCTGCAAGGTCTGATGCTTCAGGCTCAGAGTCAGGGAGCAGAGGGGCTGCCCCAAGCCTGCTCTCTCCTTCCTTGAACTTGGTTTTACATCTTTGAGATGAACACCCAAACCCATCACCACATCTATCCCACAGACATAATAAACCTTTGTGTCCGTGTGCATGTCCTGTGTTTTATGTCCTGTCTTTGCTCAAATAACACACAAGTTATTTTGTTTGCCCACCTCTTTGAGGTTCTTGGGTACAATATGTGACATTTTTTAACATGCAGCTGTGGCAAATTAGCATAGGACTATCATGAAAATACCTTGATATAGGAAGCAGTTGGCAAACAGGCAGAATACGTGTGTTATTTGTGTATGAATAAAGCATGCATGCAGGACCCACAAAAGCACAAGGCAAGCAGAGCCGCTTTGGACCCACGCACCGAGTGGTGTTGACATGGGCCCCCTTGGGCCGCAGAAATGCCCACAGAACATGTTCCACTGCATCTGCTGTGAAGCCATGAACAACTAATGGATTTTATAATCAAACTCGCCTTCGGGTCGATTCGAGATGCCTTACATCTCTAGATCTGTCCCTCGGGGGCTTTTGGACACTGGTGTGCTGGTTTTTTTAAAAGAATCAGATCTCCAGGCCTTTCCTTCCAAGGTCACTCTGGGTGACCATGAACCCAGGACCGGCTAGTAAGCAGTAGCTGAGCAAGTTCACTGCTAGCACAGCAGGGGGTTCCAAGGCAGGAGTGGGCGTCCTCTGGGCTTGTAGAGTCCTCAGAGCCAGATGGTCCCAATTAGACTGTGAGGTCTCTCCTCTAAGGTGCCTTGGGTGGGCGCGAACCCTTGGGGTAAATAGCAGCAGAGCAGGCTTTCCGTGTGCACACTCACTCAGGGACTTCAGCTCACAGTTCCAAAAGACGACCCATGTGAGCAGGCCAGACAGAACAAGAGTCCCCCATTTCCACGTCCACTTTTGGGGCCTTCCTCACCTGGGAACCTGGGCTTTTCCATTTCCTTAGCAGCTGCTGCACGTCAGCGTATGTCCACATCAGTGTATGTCATTGTGTGTCCATGTCAGTGTGTGTCCACATCAATGCATGTCCACGTCATCATGTGTTCATGCCAGCTCGTATCCATGTCAGTGCGTGTCCACGTCAGTGTGTGTCCACATTAGTGCATGTCCACGTCCGTGTATGTCAGTGAGTGTCCACGTCAGTGTGTGTCCACGTCAGTGCGTGTCCACGTCAGTGTGTGTCCATGTCAGTGTATGTCCACTTGATTGTACCGTTTCTTTTTCTTCCTAGGGGCCCTGGCTGTTGAAGAAACGCTCTCTCAGCTGTGCTCAGAGCTCCAGGTAATTGAAGGAGTTGACCCTCGGGTCTGACTGGCGGCGGCTGTGCAGGCTGAATGTAATTGCTTGCTTAGAGTGGGAGGCAGAGATAAAAGACAGGCTTGTAACCTCACATGGGGCCCAAATCTGGAAAGTTCTCTGCGTTTCTGTACGCAGAATCATTCCTGTGCCATTAGACACCTGTATACGCCTGACCCTGTGCTGGACGCTGTGCAGAGGCGACGCAGGTCCACAGGGGTCTCTGAATCGCTGGAGCTCAGAGCACATCTGTTTAACTACCCACTTACCAAGCAGGTCCTGGCTAATTACTGGGTGTTCAGAGGCCTCACACTAGATCTCGGATAGACTGATACGGGGCTGGAAGCTGTTAGGAAGGAAGAGGAGGATGATATGATGACAATCGCGTGCACTAGCAGAAATCTGTCCAGCACATAGTAAGAGTATTGTTGTTACGTGGGATTGAGTCAGAACCGAATCATGGCCAGTCTTCCAGGCGTGTTCAGAGGCAATTAATCACATGGACGTAGCTGGTAGATTTGAACCAGGTGCCTTTGAGATTGCGGTGAAGCTTCGTCCCACTAGGCCACATAATAAACAATTTGGGGGACTCTGTCACGTTCCTTGGGCTATATGCTGTGAGTAAGGATTGTTAATCATGTTGGGGGTACGTGCCTTGAGTAGATTCAACACATCATGACCCAATAGGACAGAAAAGAGCTGCCTTATAGGATTTTCCCAGCTAGACTCTTTATGGGATTAGATTGCTAGGTCGTTCTCCTGTGGAGCTACTAGGTGGGTTTGAACCACTGACCTTTGGGTTAAAAATGAAGTGCGTACACTTTGTACCCCAGAGGGTAACAGTAGCACCCCTCTACCAGACAGGTGTGTCTCACATGCCATGAGTACACTGTTAGGAGGAGGCATCATGCTTGGAAAGGTAGAGGGTCAGGGAAAGAGACGAAGACCCTCAATGAGATACGTTGATCCAGTGAGTGTAGCAATGAGCTGACTGTATCACGCATGATGAGGATGGAGCAGGAGAGGGCAGCGTTCAGGCCCCTTGTTCGTAGGGTTGCTATGATTGTACTGGACTTAGCAGCACCTAACATCACCAGTGCACAGGTTCAGGATCAAATCCACCAGCTGCTCCACGGAAGGAAAATAGACCATCTCCTCCTGTGCCTCTGAAAACCTGCTGGAGGTCAGCTCTGACTCAGTTCCGACTGTGGGGTACACAACAACAACAACAAGAAGGACCTGATAGGGCTGTTATGAGATTAAGTTAAGAGCAGGTGTCAGGGCTATTGTACACGGCATCGCTATGAGTCACAAGTGACTGGACAGCACATAACAACAATAACAGTGTGTGTTCAGCCCGTAGTGCCCCTTGTCTTGCTGTTAGTTGTTATTGTAAGGTGGTACTGGAAGGCCCATGGGGAGGGAAAGGGAGCTGAGAGTGGACACTTCGGCGTTTGATAAGGGGGGACTGTGTGTGCAGAGAGGGTTCCAAGGGTGATAACAGGTACACGCTGGCAGGGGATGTGCTGGGCAGGGAGTGTCACCTGGCTGAGAGTGGGCACAGGGGGTGAGGGTGTGTGCAGAAGCGGACAGGGAGGGCTCACAGGCATGGACGTTGTCAGGAGGGGTGCTGACTACCTGGGGACACCTCTAACTTGTGGTGCTGGCTTCCCCTCTGAGATGATGGAGTGATGTGGTCAGCTGCTGCATTTTAGCCGCCCCACTGCCCCTCCCCGTAAGTCCTCCTGCGCAGGACTTGGGAGTCTTGTTAGGGGTCCTGGCTGATTCAGAGAAAAATAAAAACAAGCTTCTTACTACCTGCTCACCTTGATGAGGTGATGTGGGCATCACCTCCTCCAGGAAGCCCCCCCACGAGCCTTCTCCAGACCTCAGTGTGTGTCCCATTCATGGCCTGGGTCAACCTCGGAGGTACCCCAGGTTTGCTTCCAAACTGCTGCAGTAAAGTGAAGGTTGCATGAAGCCAGTCACAGAATTCTGAATTCTTTGGTACGTATCGAATCTGTCCTGTGGTTTGTACACTCGCAGTAGCATTATGCAAATAAAGAGGTGAAAAATTGTGAGAAGATCACAGTGTCTGGAGCTCTGGTGAGGTAGTTTATAAGGAGTTGCTCTTCTCACTCAGAGGTAGTGCCTCCCTCTTTTGAATCCCCAGTGATTGCCAGGGGAAAGGTGGGCACTCTCCCCCTGTGTAATCTGTGACCCCTGAAAACCTGAGGGGCAGCTGTGAATCACTTTCAGCCACCATATAGCCATGAGCTGAGCTAAGTGTGACACAGAGATGAGCTGTGAGCGCGTACTGTTAGAAAGTAGACCTGCTCTACCCAGGGTTGCTACAAGGCTTCAATCTCTAAAACAAAACAACAAACACAAACAAACAGATTACCTGCAAAATGACTAGATGTCCAAGTGCAATTCAGTGCAGGGAGCCTATACGTGATGGTTGTGTTATAACCATCTACACACAGAGTTAGCAGTCTGGTGACTTGATACCTAGAAGTGTGCTCCTAACCCAAAGGTCACCCCTCTCTGGCCATCTGCATCTACCAGCAGCTCCAAGGGAGCAAGATGACCATCCTTCCACTTGGTTTACAGCCTCAGAAACCACTGGAGGGTCAGTTATGAGTTGGTTCTGACTTGATGTCAATGAGTGAATTGAGTTAATGCATAATTATAACCAGACCGTAGCCTCATCTGAGACTGTATTAATTTATCCTGGACTGGTCAAAGGTGGACACAGGACAAGTACGCAGTGAACATTGGGGTGAGAGGGTAGAGGCAGTGGACAGTGGGGAGTGTCCAGGGTGCAGTGAGCCAAGTGGCAGAGGAGACACGGAGCAGGTGCGGGGCGTGTTCCGGACACTGAGTTGGCATTGCTGCCTCGTTAGTGTGAAGGGCTCTTTCCTCGGTCTTGCTGGGATGGCCCCTCTTAGCCCATCATTGCAATGATACAGACAGAAACCCAGAAAGGCAGGGAGTCCTCCTGTGGCTTAATCAGAAGTGTTCTATACCTGGTCTGGGGCCATGTCTATTATCAACGAGGGGAAATACAGTTCTCCCAAGGCCACATTTTATCAGTAGCTTCTCTCCGTGTCTTTACCTTCATCCTATTCCCTGAGCTGAGAGGATACACAGGGGCTGTGTGTGTCCTCGTGGTGGATGGGATGTTATGGGCGACAAAGTAAGACATCGTGTGTGGAGAGTCTGGGTTGTTGAGGCCCAGGGTTCCTCACCTTCCTTCAAAGGTGCTTACTTATCCAGAAACCTCTGCTCCACACTGCTAGTTCCTGGGATGCGGGGAAACTCCAGGCTGAAATGCAGGCCTGAAAGAGATGGAGGAGATAACAAGAAAGAGCATCAGGAGGGCAGGGGCAGCACTGCCTGCACAAGGGACTCGTGGTTTGCCTTGAGCACGGTGATACTAATCTGTAGTGAACAGTTTCACGTTTTCCCCACCCCATCAGAGGTTCAGCGTCTAAGTAGGGCTGGCATCTGTCTTTCTCCCAGCCTCGCACAGCCTTCCTACAGAATCAAAGCCTCTTTTCAAATTGACACACACTGACAGGGACGGAGTAGCCAGCCAGCGAGGTAAGCGCAGTTCCCTGTGCTGGCTTGTTCCTGTGCAGCGGCCACTTGTACATCAGAGACGTGGCGAAACCCATGTGAAATTGCTCACTGCTGATTAGGACGCGCAAGGAAGCCCATGCTTACGGAGCTCACATCCCCTGTGGGAGGCGCTGTGGAGGAGATCCGTGGGGGTCACAGGACCCCCAGAGAGGAGGTGTCACTCCTGGAGCTTAATGTTAGTCGCAGTCTAATCACCTCTGACTGATGGTGACCCTACGTCCCACACGATCGATCGCCACCCGTCCCCATCATCACCGGCACAGACGCTGTATGGTCACTGCCTTCTTCCAGCATCGTTGTTGTTGTATATTGTTGAGTCAGAGCCAAGCCACAGCTGGTCCTCCAGTGGGTTTTCGGAGGCGGTAAATCACATGGAAGGAAATGCCCATTTTCCTCCCAAGGAGAAGTGGGTGCACTCGAACTGTGTGCCTTCAGGTTGGCAGCTCAGCTCCTTATCACTGGGCCACCAGAGCTTGACAGTATTCTGTTGAGATCTATCCTTTCAGAAGCAGATTTTTATAGACTGTTATTCCTAATCTGTCTTAGGCAGAAACCTCGGCCCTGGATGACATTGCTGGTATCTGAAAGGCCAGTGGCATAGCTTCCGGCATCAGAGCACCCCACAAGTGACTGGAGTGTGACATGGGTGGATGAGTGGTGGGGGGGCACTTGTGTTAGGTGCCATCACACTGATTACACTTCAAGGTGCCCCTGCTGTGCCTGGGCCCCCTGCTGCGCTCACTGTGTCACTGTCTCCTCGAGGGTCATCACGGGGCCAGTGCATCTTCAGCTGTCACTGTGTCTGTCTGTTTCTATAAGGGTTGTCTTCTCTTTAAGGACCCTCTGCTTTCCCAAGTGTGATGTCTTTTTACATGGACTTGTGTCTTCTGACAGCATGCCCCCCCCATATTTGGGGTGCAGCCTCACCACCCCGTCCTGGCAGCTAGGGAACACTCTGTGTTTCTTCCAAGACAGATTTATATTTTCGTTCTTTTTGAAGTTCACAGTATATTTACCAACATGACAATACAAAGGCATCAATTCATCTTTGTTCTTCCTTATATATTGTCTAACTTTGACATGCAAATAACAGAGATTACCCAATGGAGCAATACTGGTTGCGAAGCATGAAGTTCGTTGTTTTTCGGATGTACTGTGGAGTCAGGATAAGGACCTATTGCACTTGTCCAAGGTCAGTGTTGTGGAGGATGTGAGAGGCCGGTTTCTTCTTGGAGCTGGTGGGAGGACACCCAGGAACAAGTGTGCTAGAAGCTGGATATTGATATTTGTTGGGATAGGTCATAGAGTCTGAAAAGAGAAATAGTGTAAACTAAGAGAGATACAAAGGCATAGATACATCTAGAAATCAAAGAGTAAGTTTTATCTAAAAGCGATATAAAGTTTGGACAAGATGGAAAGTTATTTATTCTACCTAACAGGTGATCTTGTATTCAGAAAGCTTTGGCCTCTTATTTTGTGGACACTGAGGAACTATCTAGATATTTTATTCTTTTTTAAAATTTTATTATTTTAAAATTTTTTTTATTATTATTTTTGTGTGTACTGTCAAATCAGATCTGATTGGTACAGGAGATTGCCCCTCCTTCTCCAGCAGAGTGTCTGGTGGATTTGAACCACATGCCTCTGGGATTGCAGTGCAACTTCTTGCCACTAGGCTACCAGAGCTCCCTTATTTTATTCTTGTTTTAAGACTGCTATGCAGCATACTCCTGTAAGACTCTGAAGTATAAGGAAATGTCACCAGTGCATGGAGAAAGGAGATATGTCAAAGAAAACTTGGAAGTTACCAAAAATGTCAGAAAGAAGTAATAGTAAGTTGATGGATTACAGAGCCTTGGCCTCCACCTTTTGCCTCTCCAGATGCTGAACAATCCAGAGAAAATAGCTGAACAGATCAGCAAGGATCTCGCCTGGCTTGCCTCCCACCTGATGGCCTTGTGGACCCAGTTCCTGGACACAGTGACACTACACTCCCAAGTGACCACCTATCTCACCCAGGAGCATCATACTTTGAGGGTAAGTGTCACATGACACACCTGTCCCCCCTCATCTCTGGATAGTGAACTCTCCACGGGGGCTGGTTTAAGAGAGACCATTTCTAGAGCAGAATGAAGACTTGGGATTGGCCTCTAGGTCAGCACATGGTCCTGATTCCACCATGAACTTGCCATATGCCTTTGTTAATGTAATTCTCCTGAATCTCTGCTCTTATAAGAATTCTTCCATATCTCAACTGGTGGCAGAGTCCACCACAAATCCTTTGAAAAGATTATTGTTGCTGTTGTTTGGGGGTTTTAAGTGTTACCACCTATGAGACATTGTTCTTCTGCCAACAGTTTGTGTCCATGTGGGTGGACATTAATGGCAGAAATATCAATTCATAGACGATGTGGGCCTCCTCTCTTAGACCAAGAGGATAAGATGCATGAGTGTCAATGTTCACAGAGGGTTGTGCAGGATTGTTTCTGCAAATCAGTTTCAGATGCATCTGGATATGGTCCCTGTGTGCTAATGGAGAGACTGAGTCTCGCAAATGGTTAGTGCACTTGGCTGCTAATGAAAAGGTTGGCAGTTCAAGTGCACCCAGAAGCACCTTGGAAGAAAGATTTGAAAGAGCAGCCATTGACAACCGTGCAGAGCACAGTACACAGTTCAACTCTGACACCATGCACCTGAGTTTGAATTGACATTCGTTGAGTGTGTACGTGCAAGGGGCTTGTCTTCTAGTGGCAGTAATATGAACCAAACACAAAAATAGAAACTGGTATAATAGAATAGAAAATGGTAGTTTGCATTGCTTCATGTGCATGTGAAAGCTGGAAGGTAAATAAGGAAGACCAGAGGAGAACTGACGTCTGAATTGTGGGGCTGGTGAAGAATGTTGACTATGCCATGGACTGCCAGAGGAACAAACACATCTGTCTCAGAGAAGTGCAACCAGAGTGCTTCTTAGAGGCAGAGATAGTGAGTCTCCACCTCACGTACATTGTGCACGTTGTCAGGGGGATTAATCCTTGGAAAAACACAGGGTCCTGCAAAGATGGAGGGTCAGAGAAAGGAAGGAAGACCCTCGATGAGGTAGACTGACACAGTGACTAGTGATGGGCTTGAGTGTCTCAGAGACTGTGTGGACGGCACGGATCACGCGAGCTTCAGACCTGCTGTTTTCAGGGTCACTATAAGTCAGAGTTGACACTCACTTCCTTATCCCAAAGGTGCGAAGATTTTCCGAGGCCTTCTTTTACATGGAGCACCAAAAACTTGCAATCTTGACCTTCCAGGAAAATCTGTAAGTATCTCTTGCATCTTCACTGCTCCCTTCAAAGTACCTGCCCAGGATGCTCCTGGTCAGTTGGATCTGTAAATGTGTTGGTTGTTGTAAAGATACGTAGGTAGTATAATATTTTCATTCAGTGCTTCTCATGTGTACACTTGATTGCTATCCATGACGTTGTTTCAGGTGTTCCAACCACCACTCATTATGGTTGTCAAATTCCCCTTCCCCCTAATCAGTCACTGCTTCCTACACTATGACCCCTCACTGCCCACACCTATCTGCTCCTGTTGTAGCTGGTGTTAGGTGCCTGAAGTCGGTGACGAGTCATAGTGACCCTGTGCACAACAGGCCAAAACACGGCCCACTCTGTGCCAGCTTCAGCGTTGTTGCTGTGCTTGATGAGCCACTGTCCCAGCCACTGAGTCAGACGGTCCATTGAGTGTCTTCCGTCTTTTGTGATCACCTTTACCAAGTACGATGTCCTTCTGCAGGAACTGACCCTTCCTCATAATATGTCCAAAATACATGAGACAAAATCTGCTCAGCGTCTCTTCTATGATTTCTAAGACAGACTGATTTGTTCTAGTAGTCCATAGGATATTCTTTGCCAACCCCACAGTCTAAAGGCAGCTATTTTTCTTTGGTCTTCCTTATAAACACTAATATAACTTTGGTTTCTCTACATTTACATATTTGAGAAATTTCTAATGTACCTTTGTGTTAGTCTGACTCAGGCACATTGGTTATTAAGACTGGAGCTGAAAGGAGACAGAGAAAGTCAATCGCTACCACTTTTTTGTGTGTTGAGTGTTGTGACTCTGGGGGCAGCACCAGGACTGCCTAGGTCCCTGAAGGCATCAGTGAATAGCTACCACTTTTATATGTTGAGTGTTATTATGACCCTCTGTGCTAGAACCAGGACTGCTTAGGACCTTGAAGGCATCAGTGCTGAGTCTTTTTTGCAGAATGGATTAGAAACAGGTGCTGTGGCCACAAGCTATGTCAGAAACAGCACAGCTCACCTGGGGTTCTTTGGCAGCTGGGAAATGCACTTAGCATAAGAATTAAGCCCTAAATGCCTCATCAGCAGGACTGAGGTGGGGCTGATGAATTTATAAGTTTGTCTTCTAGGTGAAAGTAAAGAGCTCAAGGGGTTGTGGAAAGATCAGGCCATTCTGGCTTTCAGATTTCCCTGGTAGGCAGTAACAGCGGGTATTCCCAAATATTGTGGGCTTTGCTACCGATGTCCAAGGTATTTTTATTTCTGAGTCGCTTCCACAGAGAGATGTGAGTGAAGTGACTTTGAGGAGCCACAGTAAACCTAGCCAGAAAGACACTTGGGGTTCATCCATCATTCAGAACTGACTGGGACATCCTCCCCCTTCATCTTCGTGGCTCTATTTTCTCTCCACTCTTCATTTTGTTTGCAAAGTACAGTGACATTTATGATTTGCCTCATGAATTCTGACAGTGTGAGGGACACCATGGAAAATGTTTGCATGCTGAAATCAGAGCCTGGAATCCTTTCATTCTGTTCCAACCCTTTGCTGAGAATTTACATCCCCACCCAGGATGTATGCACTCAGAATCTAACGAACCACTTGGGGAATCTTGTTAACCTGTTGATTCTGACTCAGGATGTCTGGAGTGGAAATGTAAACTCTGAGCAGGAATTGAAGCTGAAAGAACAGTTCAAAGCCCTGGTGAAAAAACCCCTGTTACCCTCAAGCTGCTGGTGGTGACTCGTGGCAACCTTCGATAGGATCTGTTAGACAGCGAATCTTTATCTGAAGGAGACTGCCTCTCCCCTTTCTCTTTAGAAATAGCAGGCGGATTTGAACAGCTGACCTTTTGTTTAGCTGCCCGACATGTAACACACTGCACGACTAGGGCTAAAATAATTTGCCTAGAAACATCTTGGGTCTTTCTTTCATTCATTCACTCACTGACTCATGCATTTGTCCAGTTGACAGATACAATTGTCTGGTGGTATTTTCCAAAACTGGAACTTAGAAGAGCTAATCCTAGCTGGTAAAGAGTTGTGCTGCTACCACAGAGGTGGATAGTTTGAATCCTAGTAAAGTTTTCTCCTCTAGAATATTAGTTCTGTAGGAGATTATCTCCTCCCAGGCGGTCTACAGCCTCTGAAAAATCTGTTGGAGGGTCAGCTCTGAGGCGTTCTGACGTGATGGCACAAAACAACAACAATCTGACAAATCTAATTATGATTTATTTTGAAGGCCACTGAACAAGATATTACAAGTGAGAACTTGTACATGACACCTTCCCAGGTCACTACGGAAGATGCGTGCCTGCCTGTGTCATAGCAGGGCTCTCAAGGAGCACACACAACCATGGAGGACATACAGTCCACAAGTCACCAAATTAAAATTGGCACTTTCAAGCCCCTCAGCAACCCCCACAAGAGAGAGAATGATCTGCTCCCATGAAGACCGCTGTTGAGTGTCCCATCAAGCCAGAACCAATGCATAGCTGACCCTCCAGCAGGTTTTCAAAGGCAGCATTTGCACAGGAGCAGATTGTCTATTTTTCTCCTGTGGAGCAGCTGGTGATTCAAAGCACATAACCTTGTGTGTGTTAAGTTAGCGTACATAAGCAAGGAACCAGGGAGAGTGAGAGAGGGCTTAATGCAGCTTTATTAAAGGGGGAAGGATAAGGGAGGGTCTGGGCGAGGTTCCTCATTCTGGAGATGCAGAATGGGGAAGTCACCCCTTCAGAGTATCGGGGAGGTTTTTATAACGGAGTCCTTAGGGAAGGAAGGGAGGTACATTCCTCTGTGATTTAGGGTTTGTCTGTTAGCTCTGCCAGGTGGGCAAGGCCATTTGCTCTTCTTATCAACATTTGAATTCTTCATCCTCCCCTTTGGGCCCCCTGTTCAGACCTAACACTGTGGGCAGCACGATTCCTTGTGACTAAGCCATGAGGGCTTCCTCCCGTAAAGGCGGTTACAGTTATCTACCACTGATGCAGAACCAACCTGTAGCTGACCCTCCGGCAGGCTTTCAGAGGCAGTAAATCATATGAGAAAAGATTGCTCATTCTGCTTCCAAGGAGTAACTGGTGAATTCAAACCAGGAGCCTTTGGATTGGCAGTGCAACTCCTTACCACTAGGCCAGCGGAGTCCCTGGAGGGATGGCGTAACACTTTAAAAATATTTAAACCTTCCTGCGATTCTCACCCGGCTCTTCACGTTCCCAGCATACAGACTCATGGGCAGCTGGCCCTGGATGTCCGGAACTCAGAGTACCTGACGAGCATGCCCCCGCTGCCGGCAGAGTGCCCAGACATCGACGGTGACTGGAGCACCCTGCCAGTCATCTTCGAGGACCGTTATGTGGACTGCCCTGTCATAGGTGGGTCTGCACAAACTGGGACAATTCTCATCTTGCTGGAGGGATGTTGATGGTTAGGGGAGGAGCCCTCGTCTCAGATGTGCAATTCATATCCACAAATCCCATTATTCAATGCAAACCCCATAAAATGCCAAATTTATGTCAGAAGCTAGGCAGTATGCACGAGCAATTTGGCTCAATGCATGGATGGATGGATGGATGGATGGATGGATGGTTGGACGGATGGACAAATAAATGGGTGAATGGACAGATGGATGGGTGAATAGGTAGGTAGTTTGGATGGGTGGATGGATGGATAGGTAGATGGATTTGATAGATTGATAGATAATGGATAGATGATGGACAGATGGACGTGGTAGTGAATAGGTGGGTGTATTGGATGGATGGATGGATGGATGGAAGGAAGGAAGGAAGGATGGATGGGTTCATCTCAAGGAGAAACAATTGACACTCAACAAATGATTCCAGACACTCCTGTGATCCCTCGTAAAGGCCAGGAAATCCCAAGTCCTGTGCTGGACATTTCCTGTGATTCATTGATTCAATCCTTTTAACAGCCCGGTGAGCTCTATTTCATAGATGAGAAACTGAGGCCCTAGTTCGTAAGTATTTATTCAAAATCATTTTAACTGAAGATCTTGCTCTGCCTGGCCCTGTGTTTGTGGGACATTTCAGATTATTGTAAACTAGCTGGTGACTATTGCTTAAAGGACGGGTCAAAATGCTGACTGTCAGAGCGTCTGCCCTCTGAGAGTGGAGTAATACTGAAAAAGTCTAAGCGGCTTCCAAGGACAGCACAACCTTGCAAACAGAGGCTGCCATTTCGTTCCCGGTTGTATCCTGACACCTAGTGCCAGCACAGAGTACAACAATTAGAATGTGTGTTAATTTAGTAATAAATGGCCACTCAGGTGAGTAGTCGACCCCAACAAGTACATTGACACTGTGTGTGCGCACGCGCATGCGTAAGAGTGTGTGTATATGGACATATTACCAGATTTTTCAAAATAATTACATGATTTATCTATAAGAGGATTTGAAAAGTTAGAGTAGATATAAAATAATCATTCCTTTTCAGACCTTCCAATACAGAGTCAACTGTGGGGGTGCACATCATAGAAAGCTGCATTGTTAACCCAAAGTCTGAGACTTTGGTGGTTCAAATCCACTAGCAGCTCCTTGGAACAAAGATGAGCCATTTCCTCCCATGGGATTTACAGTCTCAGAGACCCAGGGGAAGGCCCACTCTGAGCCAGTTTCTATGGGAGGGGTAGAGTTTGAGATTTTTTGTACCAAATACGTATTTTCTATCCCTGTGTATGTGTGCAATGGTAGTATAAGCTTTTTAGGTAGTGAGAGTGTTACTGAACACAAGGGGTTCTTTCCGTAGTGAATCGCCAGTAAGATATACGGATTGCAATATCCATAAGCAAGATCACGCAGGTCTGGGAGACAGTGAGTCACCTCCAAGACTGCGTCTCCATCTGGGCTGAGAGTGGTCACTGGGTTTTATACTAAGGTGAAACACTAGCTCATTTAACAATGCACTTTTGTTAGTAAAAAAAAAAGGACTTAAGATGGCGGCCAGACCAGAGATAAAGAAAACAAATCTTGACTCTTACAGCAGTTTCCTTCCTGGCCTTTGTGTGAAGGTCGAGAGACAGCCCATAACCTCCCTGTGATAGAGATGTGGTTTAGGATGACCTCAGGGTTACAGAGCTCAGGCGTGGCCGCTTTTCACCACAGAAGGCACAAATCCTCCTCCTCTCATTTAACATCATTCAGGACCGTGATTTACTATGAATCAATCCCTCGTAGAGTTGAGGAAAGTGAGGAGCACTAATAGAAAAAGATCTTACTTCAATTTCATAATTGTCCAGGGCCTGAAGGGTAGTAAGAGGCAACATCATGATCTACAGTCAGATCTTCCTGGCCCCCAAATTCTCTCTACTCTGTGAGCCCTGAGAATAACACAGATGAAGAAATAGTTCATATTTATGAGTGGATTGTTGTTAAGTGCCATCAAGTTGTAGGCGACTCATAGCAACCCTATCAACGAAAGACTTGAACACCTATAACTTTCATCATTTCTCCACGTTCACAGAGTGTTGAGAGGCAAGCTATTTCGGAAGTGGACGCCACTCCTGCTTCCAAGCTTGTTTTAACCAGGAAGCTCCACCAAACACTGTCCACCCTGAATAACCATTATCACACTTGACACATGAGAGTCACAGCGTTTAGCATCGCAGAGTTAGCTCTGTTGTAAGTGGGAATAATTGTTATGTTTGTGAGACATCACCAAGTCTGTTCAGCCTAGATCGATGCTGTGCACAGTAGAACAAACCACTGCCTCGCCCCACATCATCTTCGCATCCGCTGCTCTGTGTGAGGCAGGCCACTGTATGAATCCAGGTCGGTGAGGGTCTTCTTCAGGTTTGCTAACCCTCCACCCTCTCTGGGGATTGACCCCTCTTCCTAACATTGTTACTAAACACAAGGGGTTCTTTCTGTAGTCAATAGCCAATAAGTCAAAGGATTGCAATATCCATAAGCACTTTATTACACAGATCTGGGAGACAGCGAGTCACCTCCAAGACTGCCTCCCTGTTTGGGAGTGATCACTGGGTTTTATTCTAGGGTGAAACCCTAGCTCATTTAACAATGCACTTTTGTCAGTAAAAAAAAAAAAGGCAATCTTTACATCTGAAAAGGATAGTTCATATTTAACTACTAGTAATTCAGGACGGGCACAGTCCCCTTCCTGGTAAATAGGCAGATTAAGACACAATTTACATATGACTGGGAAACAGCCTCAGAGAGATCAAACTACTTTCCATGACTAAAGACAGGAAACAGAGAATTTGGAGGCTAAGCAATTAGTTTTGTAGGCTGAAGAAAACTGATGTTAATTTTATAATTATGTAATTATAATCAGGATTGGTGGAAGAATCATCAACAACCTGTGTTATGCAGATGACACAGTCCTGCTTGAGAAACTGAGGAGGACCTGAAGTGTTTGCTGCAGAAGGTCAAGGACTATAGTCTTCAATATAGATTGAAGCTCAACATCAAGAAAACAAAGATTCTCACTACTGGGCCAATTGGGAGCATCATTATGGATGGTGAAGAGATTGAGATTGCTACCAATTTCACACTTGGCACCAGCAGTCAGGAAATCAGGAGACGAATTGCATTGGGAAAGTCAGCTGTGAGGGACCTCTCAAGAGTACTGAAGAGCAACGCCGTCAGGCTGGAGACTAAAGTTGCCTGATCCAGGCTATAGTCTTTGCAATTACGTGCTATGCATCGGAGAGTTGGACAGTGAATAGGGATGATAGAAAGAGAATTGATGCCTTTGAGTTGTGGTGCTGGAGAAGAGTGTTGAATATACCATGGACTGTTAGGAGAACACACAGGTTCATCCTGGAAAGGGTGAAGCCGGAGTGCTCTTTGGAGTCAAGGATTCTGAAGCTTCGTCTGACATACTTTGGGCATGTTACAAGGAGGGACTGGTCCGTGGAGAGGGACATCATGTTTGGGAGAGTGGAGGGACAGCGCAGGAGGGGAAGACCCTCGATGAGATAGATTAATTCTTGGTGGGAATGAGTGTGTCGGAAACGGCGAGTTTGACACAGGGTAGAACGGCATTTAGGGCTCTTGTATGTAGGGTCACTATGAGTCGCAAGTGACTCAATGACACATAACAGTAACAACATGACTATAGTTTTATAACTGATACATATATAGAGACTTTTGAACTTATTAAATACCACCCTATCAACATGTTCAAACTATGTGAGACCAAGACTTGCCAGGCTCACTTCGAAGGAGCATTCTGGCTGCACCTCTTCTGAGACTAATGTGTTTGTTGCCTTGACAGTCCACGATCTAGTCAATAGTCTAATCATTCTGCTCAGTTCAGCCCATTGGTGTTGACCCTCCAGGGGCCTTTCAAAGGCTGTAAGTCATGTGGGAGAAATTACCCCTCTTGGTCCCAGTGGCAGCTGCTGGACTTGAACCACCAGAGAGGCATGACCTTTGGGTTAGCAGTGCCGCTCGTGAGCCACACTGGACAGACTTTAATAAATAAAAAGGGGAAGGAAGAACTTTAACATTTGGTTGGTTTGCATTTATAAGACATTTGTGTGATTTGCGAATATAGATTATTAAATGTAATATTTATCTTTCTTCTTGTTTTTACTTATAGGTCATAACTTGAATGGTTATCCTAATTTTGATATTCCAGGGGCAAGTCCTATAAGAAGACATCTAAAAGACAGAGAAGAGAACAGTAATGTAAATAGGACATCATCTTTCAGGGAAGATTTGGTCTTGCCTCCTAGGAAACCACCTCCCATAGACCCCGATGCAGAGGTCGTCAGGGGTCAAGATCCTGGTGAGAATGAGGTCACACCAAGTCATACAGACCTGTGCTCTGATTCTCAAGTGTATCTGACAATCGGGGAATTCCAGAACAAAGCAAGTTTTTCCGAAGAAGAACGTGGGACTGGTCAAAGCTCTGAGGGTGGCACACATTCGTTGGAAGATGTGGACACGGCCTTAAAGAGTGTGGGTCTAGAGGACAGTCAGGCCCCAGCACTGACCTACATTGATGTGAAATCCAGCAGTAAGACTTCCTGCAGAGCTGAACCAAGGGTGGTCGAACCCACTGTGGTCATTAGTGCCCAGCATGAGACTGGGGCCTCAGGAGGCAACCGGAACATGGACACCACTGGGCTGGACAAACTGGAAGCCAGTAGAAGCTGCCCGAATGCCATCTCTGCTGAAAAGTCTTTCCAAGCAGTAAGTCCTCTTGGAAAGGGGGCAGAACAAGAGGGTAAGGGGGTCCCGCTAAGTGTGAAACCTGTCCTGGCTGAGGCCTGTGACCCACTGAGCTCTGCCCTGAGAGATCTCTCAGACACGAGGCCTTCTCCTAAGGACTCACACACAGAAGGCCAGGAGGAAATGTTAGTACTCTCTGGGGTCATCAGGAGGTCATCGTCCATTATCTCTGACTCAGGCATTGAGAGTGAGCCGAGCTCTGTTGCCTGGTCTGAGGCCCGGAGCAGGGCCCCAGACCTGCCTAGTGATCGAGAAGTGTTGCATCAGCTGGTTCGAAGACATGCCCTCCACAGAAACTCCCTGGAGGGCGGGCACACAGAGAGCAACACAAGCCTGCCCAGCGGCATCCAGGCTTCTCTCACCTCCATCAGCTCTTTGCCTTTTGAGGAAGAGGAGAGGGAACTGGCGCTCACCAAGTTGACCAAGTCTGTGTCCGCACCCCAGATCAGTAGCCCAGAAGAATCCGCTGAAGACACAGATGCCGTGCAGCAAGGTGGTCTTGCTGAAGCTCTGGACGTGTACGACAAGAGCCCTGACTCCCCAGGAGACTGCTCCCAACATTGTGACGCCTCCAGAACCCCCAAGGCTGGCGTGGATCCTTCCCTTGTGGAGATATTTTTAGATGATGATGACTGTCAGGACCCTGATTACATAGATATCCTCAAAGGTAGAGAGAGTCACGCTGGTCCCCACGGCCACGCCAGTCTGGATGGTAGAACTGAGAACTCTTCAGGTGTTGATACCAAAGCTCTTAATTTAAAAATACCACGCACCATAGCACTTGAAACTCCTAGGGACAGATCTTCCCATCGAGCGCTAATGGAGACTCCAAAGAGTGTGCCTTCCACCCTAAATGTGGGGGGGAGAGTGCTTTCCAAAATCAGCATCTCAGATACCACCCACCATAAGGTGCCTGTATGGAGCTGTGTGTCAGCGACTGGTGCAGCCGACCCGGATCCAGCAGGGCACGGAAGTGGCTTGCCACGCACTGAGGAAGACACAGCCATTGCTGGAGGATCTAATGCCCCAGCTGGGACTGAGCTTGGACAGAACGTAGGCACCGTGTGCCCCACTGTGATGCACTCCCCCCACTCCCAAGAACCTGAATCCCAGGAGCCGAAGGCAGGCATGTCCATCGCCGTGCCACCACCAACGCCTCCAGAGACCTTTTCCAAGGACAGCATGAAGGCTGTGGAGGTGGTGAACCTGTCTGTGTCTTGCACTGCCACCTGTCTCCCTTTTTCATCTGTGCTCAAGGAGACCCCTGCCAGGGCTGGATTCTCCTCCAAGCAGACCCCCTTCCCCATAACTCATCAACCCCTGGGCTCCTTCGGAGGGGTTTCCTCACATGCCAGCGGGCTGGAGGGAGAAGTCAGCGAAAGAATGTTTAGGTAAGTTTGCTGGGGACTTTGTCTTTTTTCTATCGTTTTCCACAAAAGTCTCAATTCCATGCATAATTATTTCAAAATGAAAAGCAGTTTGCCTTTCTGCTCTGCAAGGTAAGAAAATGAGGCGAAGTTGTCATTGCTGGTATGTGCTATTGAGTTGCCTGAGACTCATAGTGACCCTCTGTATGACAGCTCTGAAGCCTGTTCTATCCAGAGCCAGTCTTACTGACTCTGACACACCCACTCCCATGACTCCAGTTACTGTGTCAATTCATCTCATCAGGGGTCTTCCTCTCTTGTACTGTTGCTCCACCCTTCCAAGAATATTGTTCTTCTCTAAGGACCATTTCCTTCTTGTCACATGCCCAAAGTATGTGAGATGGAGCTTCAAAATCCTAGCCTCCGAGGAGAAACTTGGTTTTACATTCTCCAAGACAGACCTGTTTGTTCTCTTGGCAGTTTATGGTATGTCCAAGACTCTTCTCCAGCACCACAACTCAAAGGCATTGATTCTTCTTCTGTCATCCTTAGTCATTGTCCAGTGCTCTGATACACAGCAAGTAATTGCCAGGACCATGGCCTGAATCAAGTACATCTTAGTCTCTCGACTGACATCTTTGCTTCCCAGTACTCTGGAGAGGTCCCTGACATCAGATTTTCCCAGTGAAATGCATCTTTTGATTTTTCTTTTTCTTTTTAAAATTTTTCTCCTGGCTTTATCCATAGGCAAATGCTCCTTTTTGATCTTTTGACCATAGTTCTAAGGCGCGGTCATCATGGCGTTATTGGCCACCTTCTAGTCCTGTCTGTTGTTTGCCTGCAGGTTGAGCAATGAGGTGAATTTTGTTCCAAGTTTGAAGGGTAAAGAACGGTCGTATCTTTGGGACTGCTACTGGCCCAGTATGCCTGGACATTTCTATGTCTTCACGTTCTGTTCTCTTTCACCTTCCTTCCCCAGGACTTGGGCTTATGACCCATTTCAGTGTCACTAATAATCAGTGATAGTTGGGCACCGCCAAGTTCTTCTAATTTCAGTGTCATGACGGTTAAGGTTTATATGGTCAGTTAATCCTTCAGACTAATCATTTTTATACGTCTTTGATCTTCTCCCCTCTTCTTTGTTCCTGACAGAGACAGACCTGTAATTGCACCTTAGTTGGGTGCTCACAAGCTTCTATGTCCCCAGTCACTACTCACTTTCTCTTTGTGAACTGTGTTATCCGAGCTGTCCTTGGTGTCCTCCAAGACTATGGTATCAGAGTTCCTAAGAAGAATTTGATGTTCTGTAATTTTCTTGCTTTTACACAAGATCTATCTACTAGGTCCCAGATCAAAACATTCTATGATGGCAGCTGGGCACCATCCACTTCTTCAGATCTCACAGTTCTTCCTGGAGGCAGGTGGACCTGCGCTCCATTGCCAGGTCTCCTCCTCCCAGCTGGCTGGTGGCTAGCAAGCTTTACAGATGCCAATCACCACTCACTGGGAGGTAGGGCAGAACTCTACAGACATCAAAAGCCAAATCGGCTTCATAAAATGTTTTTTTTTTTAAAGAATCATAAATATCTATTTTGGAAGCAAGAGTGGCATCCACTTCCTAAACAACATGCCTCCGGAAACTCTAAGAACTTTGATAAATGTTGTAAGTTATAGAAAGGCTTCAGGCCTTTTGTTCAAAGGGTCGCTATGAATCATGCTTGACTTGAAGGCAATCGGCAACAACAAAAATCTATTATATGACAATTATAAAATTAACATATGCATACCACTCACTGTCCAAGGCCTGGCCAGTGTTTTCTGGCCATGATCCTGACAGTCTAAGAGGAAAAGAGACAGGAAAGAGGCCAATGAGGACCAGTACTGGGTAAGTGAGTGCAATGACTCTTAGGTTCATGGGGGCCCTGGGAGAGAGGGGCCTTCTTTGTCTAGAGGGCAGGAGAAGCTTCAGGGAGAAACTACTAACTGACTTGAGAGTAAAACACAAGAGGCACCTCTGACAATTGGGACTTTTAACAGTCTCTCCAGCTCCAAAACCCACTAATCTTTCAAAAAGTCCTTCCAGAATTAAAGTTTCTTGATCCAACACACAGTCACCAAATTGGACAACATCAACAGAACCTTTCTTAGCTTTGGAAATAACAAGTCACATGCAGCAAAGCCTGTGAAAGCTGGAACCTATCATAGCCGGAAAACAGAAACATTTGTAACTAACACAAGAAATAGGAAAGTGATGGGTCTGTGCTCTGTCGAAGGCAGAAAACAAGTACGATGCAGACAAACCACAGAGCCCCGTCGAGTTTGCGCTGTCACTGGTTTCATCACATGATTGGGCCCCCACGCCTCAGACTGTCTGCCTTTAGGCCCTTCCCACCTGGCTAAGCTCTTCCACCCTCTGCCTGGAAACCGGGGAAAACAGTAATTAAAAAGCAGGGCCTCAGAAGTCAGATTACCAAGACTAGATAGGAGCCGTGAGAGAATAGCTTAGCGTCTCTGTTCACCACTTGTAAAAGTGGAACAGTATCTTTCCCTGATCCATAATTGTTTCTACCACCAAGTGAGTGATCTAAAGCTATGCACAAAGCCGAGGACAGTCCCTACTGAATGCAGGAACCACAAAATATCTGCAGAAGCAAAATCAGTAGAGTCGTTGGTTTGGGGCTGCTTTCAGCCTCCTGTTTCCCCATCTTCCCACCCTCTCTCCTGAGCTTATAGGGTTGGTGTCTGCTTGTCAGCAGTTTCTTCACTTAGAGTCCTTTGTTCATCCTACATAATAGTCCAACTCACTTCCTGTTCAAAAATGAAATGCCCAGCGTGACTTCTGATTAATTAGTGTGTTCTCCAGTTTCTATCAGGCCAAAGAGAAATTTAAAAAAGAACTGAAGATTGAAGGCTTTCTGTACAGTGACTTATCTGTACTAGCTTCTGACACGCCGTATTTCCCACCAGAGGAAGAGGAAGAAAATTTGGAAGATGGGATTCATCTGGTTGTCTGTGTCCACGGCCTCGATGGTGAGTCCCAGGACGTCTGCCTCCTAACCATTCTCTGTTATATGCAGTTCCTAATATTGATGACTTCATTTTGAACATGTGTCTATTGAACAAATATTTGGTTGGATTTTTATGAACTGACAGTAATTACATAGGATCTGAGAGCTCTGTGGCACAGTTCATAGGGAATTAATTGTACTACTAACTCAGAGGTCATACCTTTCTGGAAGGTCAAATCCATGGAAGCTTCAGAGAGCTAATCGAGCGTCAGCTATGAGCTGATCTTGACTTGACAGCAGTGAGTTTTGAGCTGATTTGGGATCTAGATATATGGTGTACCTTTGTGCTGAAAGAAAATAGCTTTCTGACACACAATCATGAAAGATATTGAATAAATTAAATAGACAATGGAAAGGGTAAATAGAATTATGAATCACAAAGTAAATAGAATGAAAGGAGAAATTAAATGACTAATTGTTGGCTGAACAAGAGAATGTGTGAAATAAAAAGTGTTATGTGAGTGGATGAATGAAACAGATGGAAATGTTATTGGAATGAAATTGGAAATAAAGTATGAATAGAATAGAAGGCTAATCAGAAATTCTTGAAGCAATAGAATCATATCAGTAAAGGGAAAAATAGCATGAAATGAATATATGACCCTTTGAAAAACCCTGGTTAGGGGCCCAAACTATTTAGCTTCCTCTTTTTAGGTACTCTTCATTTATGGGACAACTTTTATATACCAAGAGTTCAACCTAGATCTGGGATGCAGAGACATGCAGTTTTTAATCCTGAAAAGTTCTCAATTTTGTTGAATTAGCACATAGAGAAATGTGAGTTTGCTGCAAAGAACAATCTAATACCTGGTGAAGAGTTCTTGGGACTATAGACTGCATCTAGCAGGACATTAAATGGCAAAGTGCAGTGACTTTTTTGCTCACTCTGAATCCTGCTTCTGACTTGTCATCTTCTGACCTCCCTTTCTTGAAATTTGAGCCAGAAACCTTCCCATATTGAAAGCCTTTGTGGCCCATGAGTCAGCAGTCTGCCATCCGACCTTCTGATGTTGGATTCCTCAACTATCTCCATTATATGAGTCTGAAGCAAACTCACACACCTGGGGCTTTCCAACTTCTAAAACCATAAAACCATTCAGATCTTTCTTTGAGATAAATAGGAAGTTTTATGTGGGTTATTTTAATCTGCGGCATCAGGCCTGATTTTAATTGTTTTTGGTCAAATATTCTTCTAGGTGGTATAGCCCTGGTCTGTGCATTGCTGTACAGAGGTAACTTGTGGTTACTGTGATTATAAACACTGTGACACTGATGTGTCATATGCAGTAAAGGTTACCCATGGTGGACAGTGTTTGGTGGAGCTTCCCGATTAAAACAAGCTTGGAAACAGGATTTCCGAAATAGCTTGCCTCTGGAAACTCTATGAACTTGGAGAGAGAGATGTATCTATATCTAGATATCTCTCTCTCTAGATATAAAGATAGAGATAGAGACATAGAGGCAGAGATAGAGATATAGATGATATAGATATAGGTGTGTTGGATCCGCAGAGCTGGACCCCAATGAGATCGGACGCCAGCACCAATCACTCACGAGAGACCGTCCTTGATGCAAACAGCATGAGGTTTTATTCCATCCAGCGCGCTGGGGCACAACCCTTGACCTACGCAGAGGCAGAGGAGTTGAGCCCCGAGCTAAGGGTACATACAGCTTATAAAGGCAATAACCCGTGCAAACATGGGCTAGCACACAGGGAGGGTTGCTGATTGGTGTATTTGAATATACACTGAGGTAGGCAGTTCTGATTGGTAATAATTTGGTGTGCATGGGTAAGCGAGGAAAACTATCTGATTGGTACATTTAAAAGCAAGTTGGCGCGCACGTGGCAAGCGGGGCAGGTCGGCGCAAGGGGTGGGGGAGTGGGGAGTAAAGTTCAGAAAAACAACTCCTGGAATTTCTCTTATCTGTACTCGCAGATGTGGGTGAGCCGTTTTATGGCCTTGTTTTTCTAAAAGAGGGCAAAAGTCCTGTGAGGTTTTATGGCTTCTACCTGAGAAGGGTTAAAAGTTAACTTCTTCATAATCTTTCAGGTGATATAGAGATGATAGAGATAAAGATATATGGATATAAGCTCTGATGACCTAGTGGGAAGAAGCTGCACTGAAATCCTGAAGACAAGCAGTTCGAGGCCACCAGCTGCTCCATGGGAGAAGGATGGGCAGTCTCCTCCTGTGCACTTAACTGTCTCTGAAAACCCACTGAAGGGTCAGTTATGGGTTGATTCTGACTCTATAGTAAACAACAACAATACAGAAATACAAACACACACAAATAAGCTTCACTGGTATTGCTTCTCTAGAAATCATTGCTTGTTGTTGTTGATAAGAGTCATCAAGTCAGAACTGACCCATTGCAGAACAGCTGACAGATTCTAACTACTTGCCTTCGAATTGCAGTGCAGCTTCTTACCACTAGGCCGCCAGTGCTCCATGTACGATTAGTCTTAAGAGCACCGATGACTGCCTAATCCATGGCGTGAGGTGGCAACAAGCAGCTTGCTGTACTTCGATGACCCAGTGTTTCAGTTGTCAGCAGGATCGTCCATGGCAGACAGGTTTCAGTGGAGCCCCCAGATTAAGACGGAGTAGGAAGCAGAATTGGTCATCTACTTCCAAAAGACCAGGCCTTCTAAAACCCCGTGAATAACATCGGAGCACAGTTATAAGGAGGCAGCGCCCAGATTGTAAGGTACTCAAAATGAGGAGAAACAGTTGTAAATGTCCAATAAGAATTGGAATATGGAATGTAAGAATATAGGAACACTAGAAGCTGTCAAAAATGAATGGAACGCATGAATAACAATATTCTGGGTATTAGCAAACTGAGATGAACTCGTATTAGCTAGTTTGAATCAAACAGTCATGTGATTTATTATGCCAGGAATGAAAAATTGAGCAAGAATGGTATTGCATTCATAGTAAAAAAGACCATTTCAAGATCTATCCTGAAGTATAGTACTTTTAGTGATAGGATACTATGCATACACATATCACATATAAGGAGGACCTTGTAATACACTTATTATTCAAGTATGTACACCAACAAGTAAAATAAAAAAAAATAAGGAAATTGAGGAAGTCGACCAACTTTTGCAGTCTGAAATTATTGTTAAGAGTGGCAGAATTATAATGCCAATAGTATTCCTAGCTCAGAATTATAAATTTTGAAGTTAAAATGAAAACATTGAGAAGAAAAACTACATATAGGCAGGAAAGTGGGAACATTGATACCCTATTTTGCAGAATCACTCCTGTCAAGAAAAGCAGGCACATCTTGTCCTTACCCCTTCTGGTGAGAATAACTCAGCTATGCTTGACGAAGAATGTGGCATCAGGATTGAAAGAAGAATTATCAACAGGCATCATTATCCAGATGATATGACAACCTTGCTTGCTGAAAGTGAAGAAGACTTGAAGCACTTACTGCAGAAGATCAAAGACACAGCCCTCAATATGAATTCTATCTCAGCATCAAGTAAACAAAAAATCTTCACCACTGTGTCAATAGAAAACATCATGAAAGATGTAGAAATTATCAAAGTTGTCAACAATTTCATTTTACTTGGATCCACAATCAACATCCATGGTAGCAGCAATTAAGACATCAAAAGACGAATGGCATTGAGCTGTCAAGGACCTCTCCAAACTTTTTAAGTGCAGTGGTGTCAGTTTAAAGACTAGGGTGTGCCTGATCTAAGCCATCGTATAATCCATCGCATCCTGTGAAAGTTGGACAATGAATAAAGATTGTAAAGAAGAATTTATGCCTTTTTATTGTGGTGTTGGATTGAATATCCTATGGGTTTTGGAATGAACAAATAAATCTGCCTTGGAGGAAGTGAAACCAGGGTGCTCCTTAGAGGCAAGAAGGTGAAACACAGTCTCACATATTTGGGGCATGTTGTTAGGAGGCCCAGGCTTTGGAAAAAGACATCATGCTGGAAAAGCTGGTGAGTCAAATGAGAGGAAGACCCTCAACAAGATGGACGGACACAGAGATGACACGTAGTGAGCTTGAGGAACACAGTGGGGATCCTGAGGGCAGAGCAAGGTTCGTATCTGCTGATCATGGGCTTGCTTTGACTCTCAGTAGACTAGATGACATCGAACAACAACTACAACATCCTTGAGGAGTCATTATGTGATCTGTCTCCTGGGGTCATATTTAGGATGTTGTCTGGAACATCATCTGAAACACATACCTTGAAAGACTTCGCTCAGTATTTCTATCCCCACCCCTCTGTCTATTCTTTCTAAAGACTGGAGCTTTAGTGAGCACCAAAAAGTAAGATGACCCATGTGGAAGTACATTGCACTCCGAACAATGGCTTGAATGTTCTAATGTGTGTGGTGCTGACTATTAAGGGGTGAAAGATGAAAAGAATGGGTGAGGGTGTGTGTGTAAAGAGAGTAAGGCTGAAGTAGTCTGAGTTTATTGGTATGAAGACTTTAAATACAGATTCTTCATCCACTGTTTCCACTGAGTAAAGAATAGAATCCTTTATTTGGTTGGCTCACTGAAGTTTGGATTAAGCTGTGGGCTACACTATATCAGCCTAGAGTGCCAGACCTACTCTGGTGTACTGTCGAAGAAGGTATCCAGAGGCCGAGGGAAATTGGCCTATTGGAGTGGATGTGTCAGGCTAGACTTTAGATGCACCATGGAATGCCCAGAAATCACATCTTTCACCCCAGTGCTTAGGAACATATTTATGAAGGGAGCCCCCAGTCTGTGAAGCCTGCTGTGATTGCTATTTCATAAAAGCCAAACTTGACAGTGGCAACTGTGCTAACAGAATTAGTAGGTAGTTGCTATTCTTTCTAAAATGAAAGGGCTCCATGCAGTCAAGTGGCCTTGCATTGTTTTTAGAGTTTCTACTCTATCTCCTGGTCCAATAAATAGTAGAATCTTGAAAGTTTTCTCTTAAAAAAGAAGGTAGATAAGACATATTCATTTTAACTTGAAGCTTCAGTCAGAAAAATTTTAGAAAGGAAAATAAACTAATTTGTCACTTACAAGCTCTATGAGACATTCAGGAGGGTCTTCAGAGACCAGCACCACATAGTGAGTGACCAGAGTTATGACGATGCATCCCTCACATAAGCCAAAACCTAACACAGTTTAGTCGAGTTGACTCTGACTTATGGCAACCGTGTGAGACTATATATATATCCATATATATGTACATATATATACATACACACACATACACACATATATGTATTTAAACTTCCATATATAGGGTTTCTAAGACTATAATCTTTATGGATAAAGGCTGCCACATCTTCCATACTATCGACTGAAATGTGGTTTAAATCCACCAGCTAATACCTGGGAAAAAGTTATGACAATCTGCTTCTAGAAAACACTACGCCATGGCAATCCTTTGGGGCAGTTCTATGCTTGGGTTACTGTGAGACTTTACCGCATGGTAGTGGGCGGGTTAGTAAATGCTGAATGTAAAGGATGACCAGGGAGGAGGAGGGAGGGCCCTGCGTGTCTGCTTTTCAGTGTCTGACCCTGGGGTTGAGCTGGGGGTTTTATTTTGTTTTTAGGGAACAGTGCAGACCTCCGACTGGTAAAGACTTTCATCGAACTGGGGCTCCCTGGAGGAAAACTGGACTTCCTAATGTCTGAAAAGAATCAGGTATGACAACAAAACATAAGCCCTGAGGCAGTCCCTGAGGCATAGCTCACATAATCACTTAAAACCGCGATAATGCTTTCTAGATGCACAGATTTGGGGGATTGCGGGGCTTTGCATAAAACACTATCCATAAACTTGGATGGTATGAGGAGTGAGGACATCCTGGTACGGAGGGATGTGCGACCATGTGGGCTGAGTAATCTCAGGGCTTTCGGGTTGGCAGCCGCTTACAGCACAAAGGATTCGGGCCTCCTCTGGGGCCTTACTTGGGGAAAGGAGTTGTCACTGACATTTATGTGAGGCATGGAGATGATCTGTGACCACTTAATGGTCAGAGGTGATGGGACCTTTGCATTTCCAGGGCTATGAGATAAAACATGAGTCCTCCTGAGATGTAAGAGTAGATGAGAACTAGCCACAATAAGATGAAGTTGGATGCCTTTAACACTCCAAGTTTTTTTATGATAGCCGAGTCTGTGGCACAGAGTTTGAAACTCCATCTCACATACTTTGGGCATGTTGCCAGGAGGGACCAGTCCTTTGAGAAGGACATCATGCTTGGGAGAGTGAAGGGATGTTTCAGGAGACGAAGACCCTGGATGAGAGGACACAGTTACTGGGGTAATAAGGGCAGGCGAGTAGGAGACAGTGAGATTGGCTCAGGATAGGACAGAGCTCAGAGCTATTTTATATAGGGTCACTATGAGTCACAGGTGACTTGATGGCATGTAACAAATTTATGGCCTTTGCACCTCAAGTTAATACTGATCTATCGCCCCCAACGTCAGGCTTCGGTACACGCCAAGGCACTCCCTGAGGACAGGCTTGTGCACAGAGCTGATCCTTTGTTGTGACCCTGTCCTTCACCTGTCTTCTGCTCTCTTCTTCCAGATGGACACATTCGCTGATTTTGACACCATGACAGACCGATTGCTGGATGAGATCATCCAGCACATCCAACTGTACAACCTCTCTATCTCCCGAATTAGGTAAAAGGAGAACACAGGTAGTTAATGCAGGGGAGTGAGAGGAACATCTGTTAGTTCTTACTCTAAACAAGTTTGGTGTGATGCTTGCTCTGTACGTGGGATAAGTTAATGCCTGGGCTTTAACCAATAACTTGAAATCTGCCCTGAGATGCCTGGACACTGATGAAAGATGCCAACAACTCCATGATGATGATGATGATGATGATGATGATGATGATAATGATGTAGACATTTTATTAGGGTTTTAATAAAGTGAAGCCTTGGCAATGGAAGGGCTAGACTCAAGTTTCCACATCCTCTTTGCCCTTAAGGAGAAATATGTATTTTGTAGCTCTGGCAAGTAGCTTGGTGATAGGGCCCAGATCTCCAAAGCTACCCTAACAGATGTTACGTACAGTGATTTACGAAGGAGAGTGCACTAGAAGTAATCAAAAGGCTAGCCATATTGGCCTCAAAAAACCCTCAGTCCTGTATAGTTAGTTGTGGCTTTGAGGAAGTCAACTGACTTAGGCAAAGCTAAGTGCTCAGGATGGCGTATGGTGTACACACCTAGGTCTGTCTTTGCATAAGACGGGACAGTCAACTGTCAGTGGAGGAAGTACTAGGTTCAAAACCCAGAACTCCTGGGTTAGAATTCTTGTTATTCCAAACACTCACATGTTTCAGTCCCATACTCCTCCTCACCACGTGCCAGCTGTGTAGAATTTTTTGCAAGATTTCGGAGATTTTGTTTTTCCATCTGTTATGTGATTACAAGTGAGATAACATGTCTCCCAGTGCTGGTACACTTCTGTATATTTTTAAAATCTGTGGGACTAGCTTTCCCTGGAGATGACTTGGCATCTATCATCCCCTAGGCCTATGTGAGTTTTCATCTCAGTGTTTCTAGATTGAAAAGATGAACTCTACTCCTGACTCTCCTTTCTTGGTGATAGTATGTCTCCTCTGCTTGCTTCTCTGTCTTTTCATCTCTCTAGTAAGATAAAGCATGATACAGTCCATACTGCAGGGAAGCAGCCATTGCATTGGCTCACAGCTGATAGACTTGAGTAAGATGTTCTGTCCCATCCTGATACCCTTAGAACACACAGGATAATCAGAGAGCACCGTGGATGATGATTACATCATTGCTAATGCGAAGTTATGTAAATATCATATTATATCATTACCTGACAGCTAAACTCCTGAAAATGAAGGCCAACAAAGTTGACACATGTTTTGGGGAAAATACAATTTAATCCATGTCATCAAGTGATTCTTAGCAGATTCTGATACTAGGTTAAAATATAGATTCTTTTTAATTATATTTGGATGGGCATGAAAATTCTCCTCAGATGACTAGACTGGAATAGAACCTGTTTGAAACCTTGATTCAGATACACCCGCATGGTACCAAGGAGGAAAGCCTTACAATCCACTTCCTTAAGACTACAGCCAGTGAAAACCCTACACGGCAGTCCTCCTGTGCCACACACAGGGTTACAGTGAGCCGACTGTAGCAGGGCTGGGTTTTGATGCTTAATTTGCCTTGGCTGTCTCACTAAGTCAGGTGGGTTATGGAGGGCTCTATGATCCCCGCGCAGAACTCTCTGGTGGTCAGTTTGCTACTGGTGGACTCATGTGTGCCTTTTCTATCTCTAAACAGCTTCATTGGCCATTCTCTTGGCAACATCATCATCCGATCGGTCCTGACCCGGCCCCGGTTTCGGTATTACCTCAATAAACTGCACACATTCCTGTCACTGTCCGGGCCTCACCTGGGCACCCTGTACAACAACAGTACTCTGGTTAGTACAGGTAAGACTTTCTCCAACCTCTGCCTCTTCAAACAAATCATAGCAAAGAAGCTATGAAAGCAGAGCCAGAGCCAGTTAGCTTTGTGATGGAATCTCAGGACTTTGATGTCTTAAATGTGGTTAGAGGACTTAGAAGATAGTCCTTTCATCATGAACACTGTGTGGCTAGTCTAGGTGCTTTCCAAGGGCTCTTATACGTTCAACTGTCTGTGATCCAAGAGGTGATGTCATGGAGGTTCTGTCCAGAAAGGATTCAAGAGGCAAAGTTGTGTGGAAAAAAGAGGATGGACTTTGGAGCTGGGAAAGGCTGGGGTGTATTCTCACCTTTCAGGAAGACTGGCACACCATTTCCTCTATGACCTCAAGTCTCTTTATGTGTTAAATAGAGATAGTACGCATATGTATCCAAATATTTCTAGAGAACACACAAACAAAATAATCCTTAGAAGCAAGGTTGAGGAGACTTGGGTTGCCTTTCTTTGGCTACATCATCAGAGAAACACCAATCACCTTAGAAGGACATCATGCTTAGGGAGGTTGGAAAAAGAGGGACCTTCTAAGAGACGATGGACACAGAGCTACAACAGTGGACTCAAGCATATCGATGGTACAGGACGCTGGTCAGCCTTTCCTTCTGTTCCATGTAAACTTTCCATGAGTTGGAGGTGACTTGAGTACAACTAACATCTGTCAAAATCAACAATAACAATATCTGTACAGCTGTCTACCTACATCACCATCTAAAGTAGAATTGTTAAACGAGAGAAGGGAAAATGAATGAATATGTATGTAAACTCAGTTTTTGCCAAAGCCTTCAATGCAGCTTTCACTTCCTCCTTTGTTATCACTGGTTCCTGTTCATATGGTACTTCCTGAAACTTTTCAGTATCAACCAGATCTTTCTGGTACAATGGTTCTGCGCATTCTCTCCATCTTCTTTCGATGCTTTCTGGGTCATTCAATATATTGCCAATGGCGCCTTTCAACATTGCAACTCAAGGCTTCCCTTTGTCTTTCAGTTCTTTCAGCTTAAGACACGCAGAGCTAGTTCTCCCCTTTTTATTCTCCATTCCAGCCCTCTGCACATTCCCCTTTTTTTAGAAGATCAAGGAATGCATGCAGCCTTTGGTGTGGATGGCATCTCAGTATCAGGAAAACAAAAATTCTTAGCACTGGACCAATAGGCAACATCACGATGTTATAGAGAAGAGATTGAAGTTGTCAACAATTTCATCTTGCTTGGATCCATAATAATCCCTTTAGTACTAGCAGTCAGGCAATAAGGAGATGCATTGCACCGGGAAAATCTGTCATAAAGGACCTTGCCAAATTATTAAGGAGTAGTGATGTCAGTCTGAGGACTAAGGACTAAGGTATATCTGATTCAGGCAATAGTCTTTCTGATCACTTGCTATGCATCTGAGAGCTGGATGGTGAATAAGGATGACAGAAGAAGAACTGATGCCTTTGAGCTGTGGTGTTGGAGGACAGCACTGAACCATTCCATGGATGGCCAGAGGAACAAACAAATATGTCTTGGAGAGGGTGCAACCAGCTTGCTCTTTGGAGGCAAGAATGAGGCTTTGCCGCTAATACTTGGGGCATGTTTCTAAGAGGGGCTATTCCTTGGAGAAGAGGACGTGATGCTCAGAAGGGTGGAGACTCTGCAAAGAAGACCCTCGACCCGGTAGATGGATGTGGTGGCTGCTGCAATGAGCTCTTGTGTGTCAAGAAGTGGGAGAAGGCACAGGACAGAGCAGAGTTCAGATCGTTCATTCATAGAGTTGCTATGAGGCTTACTCGATTTGATGGCGCCTAACACAACAACAACAATAACAATGTAAAGTCAAATATATAGGCTTGTTCAGATATAATGACACAACTTTTTGTGTTATGTTTTTAGGAATGAACATTATGACAGATAAGGAAGGAAGGCTCAATATTCTTTAGAATATGAAGAAAGACAGTAGAATTTCCCAGATACCAATTGATGGTATCATCAAAGTTTTCTGTGGAGAAGGAATAGGAACCATATGGCATTGGTCAGAGTCAGTCATTGCTGTTGGGTGAGAACTGACCTTCCAGCATTTTTTTAAGGGAAGGGAAGAGCCATCTTTTCCCTGCAAAGATGCTGGTGCATTTGAACCTTCAGAGAGGAAACATTTTTAGGATAACAGCACAACTCTCCACTGACTGGACCAGCAGAGCCCCTTGGAAGGGCATAGAAGCCTCTCTCCTCACAAACCACCCCAAGCCACACTCACTGCCAGCGAGTCAGCTCAGACTCCCAGCAACCTTCTGTCAGGTTCGTGACCCATCTCTCTCTCAGGGAGCAGCCGGTGGAGCCAACCTGCGAATCTCTTGGTTACCAACACAACACATAACACTCTCTGCTGCTGGACTTCATCAGTTGCCTAGGAGCACACTGCAATCAGTGAGCTGCAGGAAGCTCTCTACGACTGCAGTACAGGATGCTCTAAGGAGTAAGACTGTGGAAACCCTCAGTGGGAGAGGAAGAGTGTGAGCTTTTCTTAGGATGTGGCCTATTGGTGTGTGCTTACCCCTTGATGAACGATGGGTTCGGAAAGGAAACACTGAACCTTGTTTTCCAGAATCCTAAATTAATAGACATGGCACATCCTTGCATATTTGTTTGTTTTTAGGATTGCATCCTTTGGTGAAGGACTCCTAATGGTGGTTTAGTAAAGGATACTCCACTGCTAATGAAAGACCAGTGGTTTGAACTTCCCTCAGGGAATGACCTGGCATCTGCTCCCATGAAGGTTACAGCACGCAGTGCTTTGTAGAGAACCCTCTTCTGTGCTTCGGTCTCAAGTGTGCGTCAGACTTCAGCGTAAGGAAGAAACACGTCCTCATCACTGCATCAGTAAGCAATGCCATTGTCAACAGATTAAAGGCCAAAATTGCCAAGGATTTTATTTAAAGAGCAAACAAGCCTGTCTTGGAAAAAGTGCAACCAGGTTGGTCCTCGGAGGCAAGGATAGTTAGTGAACCTTCACCTCACGTACTTTGGGCATGTTGTTGGGAAGAGTCAGACATTGGAAAAGGACATCATATGTGGGAGGATGGAGGGTCAGCACAGAAACAAGGACCCTCAATGAGATGGATTTACACCGTGACTGTAACAATGGACTCAAAGGCTAGCGCAGGGTTCAGATCCATTGTGTCTGGGGCCAATGTGGGCACCTAACAACAATTCATAACCTATGGAGACAGCAGTCACAAAGCCACAGGAGGTATAACATTGGCAAATCTGCTGCGATTTTCTAAGTGATAGAGAGTAAAGATGTTATTTCGTGGCCTAAAGCGCACCTGACTCCAGCCATGATATTTTCAGTCACCTCATAAGCACATGGGAGCCAGACCATAAACAATGAAGACTGAAGGAGAGTTGATCCTTTTAATGTTGTTGTTGGTGAAGAAGAATGGATATATCACAAAACACCAAAAGAACAAGCAGAGATCCGGCCAGAATGCTCCTTAACAGATGAGCTGGTGAGACTTCCTCTGACAGAACTTATACATATTTTCAGAAAGGACCAGCGCTTGGAGAAGCACATCATCAGAGCAAAGAGTCAGTGAAAAAATGGAAGACCTCGAGGAGATAAACTGACACAGAGGCTGTAGTAATAGGTTCAAACCCAGCAATGATTATGAAGACAGCATAAAATTGGCCGATGTTTCCTTCTGCTCTACTTACGTCCACTATGTGCGGGAGCCAAATTCATAGCTCCTGACAACAATTCTGTCACATGGGGTCTTGAGTTGGAATCTACTTAATGACACCTAGAAATAACAACACCCTTAATTTAGATCCAAAGCTACTGAGTGAATTTCCAGGGGTGGACAGTTTCTTGAGACTTGTTGCCATATTGGTTGCCTCGTCCAAAGGCCTTGTTTCTCTGGAAAGTCGAACCCATTGGCCAGCCCTCTGGGGAAGGGTGGGTAGTCTTCACCCACACAGTTTATAGTCTTGGAATCTCAGTGTGGGGTTGATTCTTGACACAAGGGCAATGAATTGAGTTTCCATCATCACTCCCCTCTTAACTTGCCCAGCGTTTGCTAGAAATGTCCATTTGTGCTTTGTAATTATCTAAAACCATCATTTAACAATGATTATTCTTTAACAACTCCACTCCAATTTCCCCCCTAGGCTTGTGGCTCATGCAGAAATTGAAGAAATCTGGTTCCCTTCTGCAGCTGACCTTCAGGGATCACGCTGATTTGCGCAAATGCTTTCTCTACCAGCTAAGCCAAAAAACAGGTGCGTGGTGTTGTCTGTGGTGGCCCAGATGTATTCAGGAGTTTAATGTGAAAACTCTAGAGTCACAAGTTAGCATCAGCACCAGGCTGAGCTCATTTTAGGGGATGCAATAAGGATGGCACGCAGCGTGCATGGTATCTTGTCACCAAGGGTCTGCCACCCACCCATGTGCTAGGCTTCTCCTGGTCCACCTCCACAGGGGCTGAAAGCCAAGGTGGATGAAGGGGGTCCTCTCACCACACAGAAGTGTGAGTCACTTTTTCCTACTGGTATTCTCATGTTCTGAGCATATATCCTCGAAATCTGTGAGCCAGAGCATGTTTTGCCTGCCTATCCATGGGTTGCAACCGTCAAATAAGGTGGACACCACCCGTCCTTTCATCAGCCTCTCTCTGGCACAGTTCCAATATGGAGTCTTCATTGTCACTCTGTCATGAACTGCAAACTTGACCAAGGTGATGGGATGAACTTGGGCTGCAAGGATCGTAGCTAGGTGGTGTTGACCAAGGTGGAGGGGTGAACTTGGGCTGCTAGGATCATAGGTAGGTGGTCTGCAGGTCCAGGCAGAGGACAGAGGATCTGACCACTGAGTTTCCTCAGTCCTATTGAGTCAGCCAATTTGGCCCAAGATTTATGACTTGGAATACAGTCCTCTCTCGCTACAAAAATGTGACATCTGTTGCTCTCTCTGCCCCTCTCTTCACGGGAATCCTGCTAAATCATCCTGCAGGCTCCCTGCTGCTGTGTCCCTCTGGGCAGCTTCCTGAGCCGCTGTGATCTGTGGTAACATTCCCGAAGAGGCTGCTTGTCACTTTCTTTCAGAACTGGTTCTTTCGTGGCTGATGAAGTGACACGAGAATGGACCTGGAATTTAAAATTGTGGGTGAACCAGAACTGGAAAAACTTACAGATCAACACCATGCTAGAAACGTAATCTCTTTTAGAAATCAAGGGTGGGCAGGCAGGTGTGTTGCTAGACAACTCAGTCTCTTGACCTAGTTGAAGGCAGCAGTGTCCAGCTCAAAGATGGCAGCTGACCACCCCACTCAGAAAGACTGTGGTCACTGACAGTCCAGCCAGGAGTCCAGTTTCGCATATCAGCCTTCTGACAGGGCTCACTGCATCTCTTCTGAGTCTCCAATCCCAGGGCTTTGACCTACATCCTCTTCTGTCCAATCAGCATTCAGCATCATCTAAATCCTAAAAATGTGTTTTCTGTTTTTGTTTCAGTGGCTCTAAAGTGGTTTGATCTAGTTTGAAGCTTTGCCCGTTTTGCTCTTAATTGCTTGCTAGGGTCGCTCATTATGTCTTTTTTAGTTTCCATGGCTACTGGGAAAAATGATCTCATTTTCCCTTTAATGTGTAAACACCTCAATGTATTGACTTCACTTCACAGCCTTCCCTGGGTGTCTGCCATACACCCCTGCCCTCCACTCTGAACGATACATGTCAGGCTTGTATCTGTGCACTGATGCTAATGCGAACTTGGTGAGCCTTCCACTGAAGCAAGCATACGTAGCGAGTGTACCCCAGTGGGTGAGACCTCCTGTGTACAAAACTTTGCCTGGCTCTTCTTACAGGGCTACAGTACTTTAAAAATGTTGTGCTGGTGGCTTCTCCCCAAGACCGTTATGTGCCATTTCATTCAGCCAGGATTGAGATGTGCAGGACCGCCCTCAAGGACAGACACACAGGTGAGCCAGACTTCCTTCTGGGGGGAGCCCCTTTGAGTTTCTTCTATAGAATTGCTGAGCGTATACATATACACAAACCCAACAATCTCTGCATCTATAATCCAGTAACGTTGATTACATCCTTCAGTTCTTCAAATTGTTCTCACTTTCTTTTTTCCAAGTCGTTCTTCCTCTCTAGACATGAACTCACTGGCCCCTAGGGTTATCTAGCATTTTCATTTGCTCTTACTAATTTGATCCGCAGTAGACGGTTCTTTAAAAGAACACAATGTTCATGGCAGACATTATTTACTAATTAAGCTAGAGTGATGCTTGGTTTAAGGAAGTCTCCAAAGGATTTTTGTTTGTTTGCTTTGAGTTTCAGGCATAAGATTAGCTGAAGTTTCATTTAATCTCAGCAGCTCCAGAAAGTCTGCATTTTCTGTGCTTTGAAATTCTGTTCTATATTTACCCCCTTTTGACCGAGATTCATCTATATTATTTTTGATCAAAATGTTCAGTCATGGTAACCAGGCTTAATCTAGTTCTTCAGGTTTCATGGTAGAGAGACCAGTCATGCATGGAGGCAATTACCTATACATTCATGGCTGACAAAATTTACTAATTAAGCTAGACTGATGTTTGGTTTAAAGAAGGCTCCAAAGAACTTTTTTGGTTGTTGTTTCAATTTTCAGGTATAAGATTATCTCGGAGCAATGGTCTCGGGTCATTGAACCTTGACTCAGTAGTGTCTCCAAGGACACAGATGTGCCATTCTGCTTCCATAAATATTAACTAGGAAACCCCAGGAGGCTGTCATACCCCGTCCTGTAGGGCTATGATGGGTCAAAAGTGACACCCAAGGCAACATACATATAATAACTTGGCTGTATTGGTAACTCACTGAGTAGGAACCCCCTGTCTTCCTTGCATTGTCCATACCACACCCCAGTGCAGCAAATGTGCCTACACCTGGTCCCACAGAGCAGATGGGGTGGGGGACTTTGAGGACTTCCCCTCCTCATCACCTATGATAGAACGGTGGAGCCACGCAGGTGCAAGAAGCAGCACTTTGTGTGTTCGGTCTCTCTCTTCCCTCTCTGTCCTCGTCTCGTGCGCTGTGATCTAGCCTGCATGACTTTGTTAGGGAAAGAAACCCCAAAACACCAATTAGAAGTTCTGCTGAATTCTCTCCTCTCTCATGGTTGGTATAGGTGTGTAGACATCAGATGTTCACCATGGCTTTGCTTTCAAGTCCAGGGCAATGAGACACTTTGATCGAATATTGTCTTGAATACAAGTAAAGGTGACAGAGTGTAGAAGTGAGGAGTGAGCCAGCTAGCATCATCCTTCACACACACACACACACACACACACACACACACACTGTCTGCCATTTTATAATCTTGCTGCACTAAGAGAATTTGGCTGCATCTTTCATTCACAGGACTCAAAGGTGTTTGAAAACTAGTACACCTGCATGCTTCCTTCTATCGTGTCTTACTTTATTGTGGTTTACAGATAAAGGTTTGTGGCACCACCACACCAATCAAGGGTATTGATCCCATTTCCTTCAATATCATAACTCTGTGTCACGGTTTAATTTTCACCGTATTCAGACTTTTTTCAGAATGCTATTGCTTGCTTAATAGACTACCCCAAACTCCACTGCCTTTAGGCCAGTCCTGACTGAGGGTGCCCCCTCTCGGGTTTCTGAGGCTCCTGATGTTACGGAAGGACACTGTCCATTTTCCTCCTGGTAGATGATGGGTTTGAATGACCACCCTCTATAATAGCAGCCCAGTACTTTACGTACTATGACACCAATGCTCCTTTAACACACTATAGTGTGAATGTAGCCATCATGTGCACCATGGAAACACGCAATTGATGTGACTGACTATCTTGTGCTGTTGCTTTATTATGATGGTCTGAAATTGAACCCCCAAATGGCACATGACTCGCTTTATTGCAATATTAACTTTATCGTCGACACCTGGACCCAAGCCCACACTACGCTGCCTCTGAGGTCTGCCAGTGTCTGCTTTCCCAGGAACAGGAACCCACGACAAGATCAGCGTCTTCCTTTTCTATCCCACCGCTCACGTCTGAAGTGTCTCCTGTGCCTCTTTCCTTCCGACAGGGCCAGTCTATGCAGAAATGATCAACAACCTTCTCCGCCCTCTGCTTGAAGCCAAGGACTGCACCTTAATTCGACACAACGTGTTTCACGCTCTGCCCAACACTGCCAACACCCTGATCGGCCGAGCCGCCCACATCGCTGTGCTGGATTCCGAACTTTTTCTGGAGAAGTTCTTCTTGGTGGCGGGACTCAACTACTTCAAGTAGTAGCTTTGAGGGAGCAGGCTTTGAGTAACTCACCAGAAATGTTCAACATCCATTGAGAGCTTTACCCGAGACATGCTTTCATTGACCTCTGCCCTTGCAGGTAGAGCTCACAGGAGGGGAGTGGGCTGGGGTGAGGGTCTCCCCAGCACAGGTGCTTTCATTGTGGACGTTTGGAAAAGCTAAACCACAGGATCAACGACCTCTAGCCTTGCTCTGATCTGTCCAGCCTGAATTCTCATTCCAGAAGCTTGCTAGGAAAACCATGAGAAAATAAAGAATCAGAGTACTTGAAGTTGGTGAGCCCCACTTCTTGGCCCGCACTGGCTTACTGCAAGGTGGAGCCAGTTTAAGTAGATGTGTCCAATATGCTACTAGCTCATAGCTTTACTATAATTTCAGATTACAATTAAGTGCATACAGCATTTCAGAACTCAGGTTAACCTCTGTCTGTGCAGACATGGAACATACTTGTGTAAATATAATCCTTAATAGATTCAAATGTGCCAGTTGTTAAAGAAAATGTGATACCCATGCTCTCATTCACTCGTTACGTTTTTCACTAGGGGAGAAAGGAAAGTCTGCTGAATCCCACCCAGGTCTGTTCTGTGAGATCAGCGGAGAGGCAGCGGTGAGGCAGGGAGAACAGAGGCATTGCTTATAGACACGCTCAAGTTTGTCACAAACGAGAATGGCTACAGGGGACAAGTGAAACCAGCTGCTCCACCTAATTTTCCAGAAGATTTCTATGCATTATCCTGGTCCACAGATGAGTTTTGTGGTCACTTAAATCTCTTTCTGAAGTAGGAAAAGCAGGCGGAGGTGAAACTTAGCAGAAGGGACACTAAGAAGGATGCATGCATGTGAAGGAAGCTCCCGCAGGTCCACTTCCAGAGGAATGCTGTGCTAGCGTTTGATGCAACCGGGGAGGAAGAAAGAAACCACAATCATGGCCAGCTGCTCCTCCTCTCCCTGGAAGGAGAAGGATGTCTGAGCAGAGGATTGCTGGTTCAAAGCTCAGGGGAGCTCTTACGAGGGCGCTGGTCATCTTTCGGTTGGAAGGTCTTCTTGCCTTAGGATAATAAGGGCTAAGGAGGACTGTCGGAGGCAAACTCCAGTAAACCAGAGGGCAGAGCGAGGCCAGCAAAGAGAACAGCAGTCAGGCTAAAAACTCCACCTAAACCATCGCTGGTGAGTGAACTACGGGGACGTTTAATGGCCTTCCAGACATGATGTGCATTCTATGTGCTACAAGAAGCCTTGAGAATGGTGTTGTTGCCCCGAAGGAATGAGAGGCCAGGACAGCAGGGGTGGCTGATGAGTGGGGACGGCTCATCAGCAGAGATGACCGATGCAGGAGAGCCTTTAGAGGGAGAAGAAGCTGCCGATTCTGTAAAAATTACCTTCTAAATGTCAGAGCTGTTGTGGGACCCATTTTAGGTCCTAGTACCTGGGCTCTGGGTCACAATTTCCATGCTCATAAACCTAGCCAATCTCGGCCTATCTTAGGCTTTTAGGCTGTCATATTTTTAGTGTGACTTTGAACCATGAATGTAGACCACTCATACGGTTTATCAAATATATACTATTGTATATTGATGATCTAATATAACAAACCAGGCTTGAGTAGGCAAGTCCACAGGGGAGTTGGCTTATAAATAGCTAAAGGCAGAAAAAGCCAAGAGGGAAACTGTGGGTGTTTGGCAAAGGTGGACTTCCACACAACAATTTAGGGTTTCTCTGTAGATCCTCTCAGCCCTGGACTCTCTAGTCCAGGCCATGGACTCTCTAGTCGTACCATGTTTGAGTTCAGTGAGTCCTCTAAGCCACTTTCCCATTGCAGTATTCTGGAGTGCCTGGGTACCTGGCATAGACTCCGGCTACTCAGACCAGGAGGGAATTGTTTCCCAGTAGGTGAAGCCCGTGCTGTTGTTTTTCCTGGCCTAGCAAGTGCCCACACTCAGTACCAGGTCCATGACTTTGTTGTAACCATTTCCTGTTGGCCAAACCATGAATCCTCCCCCTTGAATGACCCTCGATCCACTTTGTGTTTCCAATGCCCTTCACCCGTGTGTCTTCCCTTGGCTATTTGAAAGACTGTGTGACCAGCGCTTATGGAGCCAAGATGAACCCAGCTGTCATCGTCTTTTCAAATAACCAGATGCCATTTTTAACTCCAACATGCAGTCTGGACATAGTGAGAACTCATGGCAATAAACGTCCAGCTGCATGGTGCACCTCTTTTTAACAGGGGTGCTCTGCTGTCTTTGTAAACCCTCCCTGGCCTCTGAGCGTCTATTCTACTCTAATTGTGTAGGAAGTACACCACTATATTGTAAATAAGAGTGTCAAATGTTGAGTGTCATGCCTCATTTGAAAAGGCTTTTTTTACGTCTCTTTCTATTGAAGTATAGATATCTAATATATGTATACATACATCTGTATATATGCATATATATACACAAATATATATATTATGTAAAACAGGGACATTCTATTATTATTGATTGTAAAAATGAGGAACAAAATGCTTGCCAAGGTCATAGTCTAATATGTTGTCATTTTTAGCATAATTTTTGTGGGGTATTTTATTTGTTTATTTTGTTGTTGTTGTTAAAGCTCCCCCAAATAGTTAGAAATAAAGATTGCTAATATTGAGGTTTGTTGATTTTTTTTGTGTGTGCACGAACCAGTTAAATCCAGAGAAGCAGGCATGAATCTTGGTTGCCATGTTCTGTAGTAACCTGGGGGTTAAATACAGACCTCATTTGATGATTGGCAGCAGCTGGTGTGGAAGAGGAAGAGGAAGAGAAGGTGCTTGCTTCTACATTTCTTCAGCACTTGCTGACAGCTTCACCTTGTGCCAGGTGGGAACTCCAAGTTAAAATGGAGATTCCCTTGCTCTCAGAGAAGTTCCAGACTTGTCACTCCAACTTGATGGAATTAGGGTTTTGAAGGAGATATGGGCAAGAGTAAAGGTGACAGCGGGAATCTGGCCTTTCTTACCTGAGGAGGTAGCTTTGACACTGAGACTTAAACATTGACAGTCTTCATTTCACCAACCCAGAACACTCAACTTATTTTTCAATAAATTCATTCAACAACTGTGCATTGAAAACTCACCACAGACCAAGGATGTGTTGAAAATGCACCAGTTCATAGTCTAACATGGAATATAAACAATCCCAGTGGGTGAACTTTCTGGAATCAGTGATGGTAAGGGGTGGGAAGTCAATTACCACCACGGTAGTCATAAGGATCCTGTAGGTGCTCAGATGAGCGATGACCACCTCCAGCTGGAGAAATGGTGTGAGGAGTGGTCAAGAAAGGCCTTATGGGATGGATGAGTTATGTCTGAGTTTAGACCCTGGAGATGCATACCAGCTGACCAGGTGAAGAATGGATTATGGGGACAGAATTAGAGAAATGCATAAAGTGAGAGAGAGAACCAGGAACATTTCGTGAGCTGGATAGAGAAATGGAGAATATATTTAAACCTATGAGTGACAGAAATGTGTCTTTGTCATGTGATATTTTCTTTCCTTATAGCCAGGGGAAATTTTCCATTGCTAAAACAAGTGGGAAGAACGTCTACCAAGAAGAGGAGTGCACTGGAAGGCCAGGCCTCACCTCCTTATCTTCACCTGTCTTCCCATCACTGATTCACTGATCCCTAGAACTCCCCACTGAGGAACATTGCACGCACAACTGCAGAGCTTCTCTCGTGAAGAACAGTTGGGACATACAGGTGATCTGCGCTGGATGAGTCATGTACCGTAGATCCCTGCCTTTGAGAGCTAAGGGCTCTCCTGGTCCCCTGTACTGTTTCTCACATTTTCAGTCTTTCACTTACGGTCATGTGGTTCTTCACATTTGAACAGATCAGATGCTCCTTTGGGATTGGGAATGATAGCTAATCTATCCATATGCCTCTCTACAGGGCCTCTGACTGCCTGGCATAGAGGGAGGGTACAAGAATTAAGAGTCAATTATCTGAAAGCACACATTTTCTAACATCTTACACACAGTAAGTGATTATAATGCAGAAAAGTTTGGTGTTGGCTAATGTTGGTCTTCTCTGGTGGCATAGGAGTCCATATTGGATATATCACAGGTGACACAATGGCACATAACAACCGTAACATACTATGACACGTTTGGAAGCAGGGGTGGCATCCACTTCCTAAACAATAAGCCTCCGGAAACTCTATGAACTTTGATAAATGTCAGTAGTTGTAGAAGGGCTTCAGGGCTTTTGTTCACAGGTGCACTATGAGTCGTTCTTGACTCAAAGGCAATCAACAACCACCTCCCGAAGATTCCAATTCTCTGACAGGATCCATCAGCAGCCCGTAGGAGAAAGATGGGTGGCCATTTCCTCCTATGAGGTTTCAAATACTCAAACTCATTGCTGTGACTAGCATTGACATAGAGTGGAGCCTCTACTGGGTTTCAGAGGCCGTAAATCACGTTTGAGCAGATTGCTCCTCTTTCTCCTGCAGAGCCTGGTGAAGTCAACCAACCAGAGGCGAGGCATTTCTTTAGCCTCTTAGTTCATTATAGACTCTGTCACCAGAGCCGACAGACTGTCAGCTGGGAGTTGGATCTGACTTGTTGACAATGAGTTGAACTTAGGATTTTTCAAGAGGAAAGTAGTTTCATTAGACAAAAGACCACACTGGTAGTGGGAAGGGCCCCTGCATACTTGGCCTCAATTTCCTCATTTGTAAATCAGGGTTGAATGCACCTACCTTGGCGTATCTGTTTGTTGTAGAAGAGATCAAGTAACATTTCAAATGGTCACTTGGGAATATTTTGGAGTGAAGCGTTGTTTATAAAGAGGAGTCTTTGTACTTAATCCAGCCTTTTTTTTTTTTTAATATGGCCTCCAAGTTGTTCATCCATGAAGACTTGAGGGAGGGTACCTTGTCTGAGCTTTAAGACTTAAGCTCCTCATAGTTGATCATTCCTTTTTAACTCTAAGAGTCTGCAAAACAAAGTCC